ATTTTCTGAGGAATAATCTGACCTAATTAAGCATTTCCATAAGGGTTGTATTAACATTCAACTGTGTGCAGCCTAATACTTGTAGTGGAGATGGGTCCCACATGACTAAGCAATTTTCTCATTGGATAAAAGCGATCCAATAATATACATGAGTGAATCATTGGACAAAAATTATATGCCAAATATGAGAATCAATATAAAATTAATATAATTCCCTTCGGTTTGAGAATCTCTTTTATTCTTTTATTCTCACCCTCACATTAAAATATAAAAAATGGAATTATGCTGCTCTGTTTTTCTTTTGGCCTTTACTAAAACCTAATGTAATTATTGATTAATTTTTTAGATTTCTCTTAATTTAATTTTGTGTAATATCATTGTTTTCATTTAAAACGTTGTAATTTAATTACTGAATATTATTTCTAACAAATAGTATTATATTATGCTCGTCGTGTCCTTTATATGACATAATCAAGAAATAGTGACGCTTTGGTTACCGACGAGCGCTTCCAATTACTCGAATTAACACAAAGTTAGAAGGTTCGGATTGATTATTTTTGCTCATAAACGGGGCCATGAAATATTGTTAACCGCGGGGAGTGTTGACAATTGAAGCTATTTTTAAAGTAGTTACAAATTTCTTAACGTTGACATCTCTTTTATATTTATTACGATCTCCAGGTCCAGCCTTATTAATAATCTTCAGAGGATTTATGCTAGCATCTGATCACGGACGTGCACACGCCCCATACGTATTATTATTATAAGAAAATTAAATTAACCATCATGCATTTGGCTCTTCACCACGAGATTAGATCTTAACCTCATAAAATTAAGTAAACATATACACCAACAATACTGACATAATATATTTTTATCACCCTTTGTCATAATTTCATATTAATGATGCAAGGTCAAAACCCTACATGTACACCACAAAAAAGTCAACCTTGATGGTTGTCTGTGAGTATGGAAATCTTGAAGAAGAAAACGCTTGTTTGACTCTAGCCGTGTATGAATGAGGTGTATCAGATTTGGACTGGACAGGGGCAACGAGAATATATATGGATCTAGCTAGTGGAATCTACATAAGCAAATATGTACAAAAAAGGACTTGGTATTATACTTTATAGCTAGTTTTGTGTGACCTAACAATACCAACCAACCAAAAAAAAAGGTGGCCAAGTACATATAGGATGACCCACACACACCAACGCCCTCCCCTCCCTCCAAATATATTTTTAAGAGGGTATTTCAATTCGTACGCAATATTTCTAAAACGCTACGTCCGTTAAACCTACTTTTTATTTATTTAGAAAAAGATGGATTTTCATTCCATTAGAGAGTGGAAAACATATCGGGCATGTATTATGTGGCCTTGTAAGTTAAGCCTACTTTATCTCTCATTATTATTGCATCGGAAAATATTAATTACGAATAGTTAGCCATAGTTATTTGACATAACACGTTTCAAGTGTGAGGTTCTCATGATGAAAGGTCTAACGGATGTATCTCTTTTAAAAACGTCAAATACAAATTTGAAATACTTTAATAATTATCTCCTAAAGATTGCTTGAAGCCAATTCAATTACTCAGAGACTTGCTCGTTTTGCCTTAACTTTAATTAAATCATCACACAGAATGCTTTAGTTTAAGATCTTACGTAACCTTTTCGTTCTTAATAAACATCCATTTTCATATTTAAAAGAAGTTGCTTAAAGCCAAAAGAAAAGGGAACCAAAGAAATTGCAATATTCATCAAAGTCTTAAGGATCTCTCCATGTGAGCTTCTTTTAAAATTACAAAGCATACATACCCTTGTGCCATTGTGGTTTGTCCTTTCACTTAGTCAAGGGTTGGGGAAGATTGTGGTCTTAGTTTGTGGGCTTTTTAAGTGGAGCAACACCTAATAGATTTCCTCGAGGTAATTTCACGTGGTCTAGAGAATTGGAAGCTGATGAGGAGATTTTGAAGGGATTTAAATCCACAATTCCCATAAGGTGTACAAAATAATTCAAGTATACATTCTGTTTGGCGTTGACTTATCTAGTATATGAAAATTCTAGAGTTCATCTCCTTCACAAGGTCTTCAAATATAATGAAAATCACTTTACTTATCAAAAACAAAACCAACATATTTTTATTGTATAATAATTAAAGACATTAAATAAGGATTTTGTTTTCTAACCATTAGATTAGAAATGGTCCCATGATCTCAACTGTTGGTTTTTTTAGTTGTATCATCTTTACAAATAATTCATCCAAATTATAGTACTTAACTGGTAGATGGAAGGTATGCTTCAAACCACAAAAAGAAGAAGAAGGAAGTATGCAAAGTTGGACAATGTTACACTTTTTCCAACAATTTTAATTATTTATATTTTCTGAATTAATAGTTGGTTCTGTAACATAGTTGGTTTGTCCAATAAAGGTTAGACTAGGTTACACATATAGGTTGAGAAATGAAAATTGAGAGAAAAGGTTAGACTAGTAAGGCCTATTTGGTATCTTACTCAAAAAAGTAAATTAAATATTATGATTTAAAAAAAAATATGAGTTGTCAAATAATAATTTTAAGATCTAAAAACTTGTTTGGTATTAAACTCCAAACTATTTTTAAGATCTAAAAAAAAATTGAAAGTAAAATCAGAAAATTAGAAACCCTAATCCCCAAATTGAAATTAATAAAAGAAAAGGAAAAAGATGCGGGGTATAAAATCCTATCAATTTTGGTGGTGTGCAAGAGAGAGAGAGACAACATAGGGAGGAGAGAGAGCGTGATGAGAGAGGGAGGAGAGAGAGAATGTAAAACCTCACTTTTTTTGTTTTTAATAATAGGGGTGATTTTGAATTTATTTTTGGGTTTGAGCTTTTAAAATTGGGCCTACCAAACAGGTTTTTGGGGCAAATTGTTTTTGAGTTTATAAAATTGGATCCAAGTAGGATACTAAACGGGCCCTAAGTATTTTCCTTGTACATTTATATTGGTGAGTACTAAAATTGAAATTACATGCAAGTTCAACGTGGTATCATTGTTACTTTTTTTGTGTTAGGAGAAATTCTATGACCCTCCGTTTGGATGAGGGAAAATAACTCGGAATTTAGCTAAAAGTCAGGAATTCAAGAGAAGAAATTGACAATTCCCTTGTTTGACATCTTAAGCTTGGAATTTATTAAATAACGCGCTGAAAAAATCGTAGAAATTGAGGCATCCAATTCCCGAGTTTAATTTCCACCAAAATAGGTGTCATTTCACAATTTCCATTGTGTGGGAATTCATATTTTCCAGTGTGCCAAAACTTACTTAAAAAAAAAACATCGCCAAACTTTTCATTTAAAAAAAAAAGCTGCCAAAATTCATTTCACAATTATTGTTTGTACAGTGATCTCTTTTATGGTTACGCTAGTACAATGGTATTATGATAATTTTCGTGTTAAAGAGTCATCACATGATTGGGATGAAGAAATGTGATCTTATTTGAACCGTATGTACAATGAAAAAGAGGTTGATTGTATTGATCAATTCTGAATTAGCAAAAGTGCATTCAAAAAGTTATGTAGAATTTTAGAAGAAAATGGTGCACTGGTTTGAATAAGAAATATTTCAATTGAAGAATCTGTAGCAATATTTTGAAAATAATTGCTCACAACTTGAAATGCAGAGTCATTGTTTTGACTATTACCATTCAATCGAAACAACTAGTTAGCAATTTAACAGAGTCTTATATGCAATGATGAGAATTAGTGAAGACTACGTAAAATTCCAACCAATTACTGTTGGGACTCCGAAAGAAGAAAATGGCAGTGGTTTGAGGCACTTATATAACTATAAAATAAATAAATAATTTATTTTATTTTTTAACTAGTTATCTTAAGTTTCATACTTATACTGTGTTATATTTCATGTTTAGAATTGTCTTGGGGCACTTGATGGAACTCACATTCCGGTAACAGTGTCGGCAGAAGAAAGACTAACATATCGAATATTTAATTTCCATCATTTACAATTTACATGAGCTATCCAAACATTGAAATTTTTAATTTCTGTCATTTACAAATTCGAAATACATAAATTCAAATACTGAAATCTTCAATTGCCAAAAATTGAAATTAAGGAAATCTAAATTTCATCATTTTAGAATTGTATGTAATTTGCAATTCCTTCATCCAAACGGAGCATGATTGCATTCATAATTCAGCCAAAAAAGCCACTAGCCACAAATGGTCAATACAAACTAGCCACAAAAGGACCATTACAATAACGGAGCGGTCTAATATCAAAATTAAGACAATCTGGTTGACCTCCACTAACGATCACGCAGGATCGAAGAAACTCTGGCACAGACATCCCAACTAAGATTGCAAACTTAGAATAATCAAAAACTGATAAAGCTTAAAATTAAAAAATAAATAAATAAATAAAAAGCCAAAACAATACAAATGATGAAAAGCTCTCATAAAGGAAAGGTGAAAAGCTCTCACAAAAGGATAGGTGAAAACTACAGAGAGAACTTAAAGAGTCTGTGCAACTTATTCCAAACATAAAAAAAGGGCAAAAAAGATGGTGGTGAAGATCTGACGCCAAAACGGAGGTGGAGATCTAATGCAGAGATGCAGCCATCTGTGATAGTTGGATGTGCTTCAGTGTGTTCGGTTGTTTCGACACCAAGAACACTTGCTTCATCTCCAGATATGGGCAACCGGTTGAGTTCCAGAGGGCGATCAGTCGTTTCTTGACACAAATATGATGCATATGACTTAGACAAACGATGAATTGACACATAATGGCTAATGAGATATTTAGACTTGACATGTATATCAGGAGAATATTATACTTTAAGTTTCCCACGAGTGGTTCGTGGGGATAACTGATAAGTTGACACAGATAGATCATTAAAAATTACTTTACTTGATTCACTATCACGAGTAGATTGGGGCACTGGCAGGGTAGCAGGGGTATTGCATCGAACTCATCCATACAAGAATCACTATCATTATTTTCAGATACAAGACTGGTCACTTGCTTCAGTGTTTTCAGTCGTTTCGACATCGAGAGCACTTGCTTCATCTCCAGATATGGGCAACCGGTTAAGTTCCAAAGGGCGATCAGTCGTTTCTTTACAGAGACCACAAGTTTCATCTTCAAATATGGGTGACCGGTCACTTGCTTCAGTGCGACAGGTCGTTTCCTTCCCAAGAGCAATTTTTTCAAACACATCATTCTCCAATGCAAGACTCTCCAATTCACTCCTCCTCTCCCCCTGAATTGGAGAGGAGAGAGAGACATTATAGGGCACTTCTTCATGGAAAGTCACGTCTAAAGTAACATGCACCTTCTGGATAGGTAGATGAGCACTTATAACTCTTATGAGTAGAAGAGTAACCAATAAAGACACATCGCTGAGCACAAGGATCAAGTTTACTCCATTGATGAGAGTAGACATGAACATAGGCAACACACCTAAAAACTTTAGGAGGTAACTTGGAGACTAAGACAGGGGAAACATTATCACCAAACACATCATGTAGAATCTTGAAATCAAGAACCCAGCTAGGAGTACGATTAATCAAATAGGCAGCAGATACAACAACATGTCCCTAAAGATGATGGGGAGCAAACATGTCCAACATAAAGGAGCGGGCAAATTCAAGTAACTGACGATTTTTGCCTTCAGACACACCATTCTACTAAGGAGTAAATAAGGTTGTATCCTAGCTTAATTAAGATATTTATTTCCTAGTTTATTATGATTATATTTTTTTTCCTTTTGTACAAATATTGTGTAATTATGATTTTATCTTGTTTCCTAGTTTGACCCCACTAGAGTTACATCCTTATACTATAAATACATTCTTTTGAAGAATGAAATGCAACCTGAAAAATATTCTACCCATATTGTTTGACATGGTATCAGAGCGGGTTGATTCACTGGCCTAAATTGGGCCTTTACCCCTGCCCAATATGTGGTGTTCACATGTTGGGCTTGAATGCTTACTCCTAACCCTTACCCAATATGTGGTGCTCACATGTTGGGCTTGAATGCTTACCCCTAACCCTTACCCAATATGTGATTTTCAAGTGTTGGGCTTGATTGATTGACTCCGATGTGGACTTGGCTCCACGTGTGGCTCACTATATGGTGATCCCACGTGAGGGGGCGTGTTGAAGAATATAAGTCACACATCAGAAACTTGACTAAATAAAATATAAAATATAATAAATGGTTCTACTATTAATAATATCGAGGCCTTTTGTGATAAAACCTCACACCTACTGGGCTTTGTAGGTGGTTAAGTTATGGACAATATTGGTATTGTTAGTAGTGAGCCGCTGGCCCGTATCTCTAAAATTTAACAAAACCAACATATTTCTATTGTTTAATAATTAAAGACATTAAATACAGATTTTGTTTTCTAACCATTAGATCAGAAATGGTCCCATGATCTCAATTGATGGTTTTTTAAGTTGTATCATCTTTACAAATAATTCATCCAAATTGTAGTACTTACCTGGTAGATGGAAGGTATGCTTCTGACCCAAAAAAGAAGAAGAAGGAAGTATGCAAGTTGGACAATGTTACACTTTTTACAACAATTTTTATTTATTTATATTTTTATGAACTAATAGTTGGTTTCTAAAACATAGTTGGTATGTCCAATAAAGGTTAGACGAGGTTACACATATAGGTCGAGAAACGAAAATTGAGAGACAAGGTTAGACTAGTAAGGCCCTATTTTGTATCTTACTCAAAAAAGTAAATTAAAAAATTATGATTTAAAAAAAAATATATATGAGTTGTAAAATAATTATTTTAAGATCTGAAAACTTGTTTGGTATTGAACTCCAAACTATTTTTAAGATCTAAAAAAATTAGAAATTAAAATCAGAACATTAGAAACCCTAATTCCCAAATTGAAATTAATAAAAGAAAAGGAAAAAAGATGTGGGGTATAAAAAATCCTATCAATTTTGGTGGTGCGCAAGAGAGGGAGAGAGAGAGAGAAAATGTAAAACCTCACTTTTTTTGTTTTTAATAATAAGGGTGTTTTTGAATTTTTTTTTTGGGTTTGGGTTTTAAAAAATGGGCATACCAAACAGGTTTTTCGAGCAAATCTGTTTTTGAGTTTATAAAATTGGATCCAAGTAGGATACCAAATAGGCCACAAGTATTTTTCTGTGTACATTATATTGACGAGTACTAAAGTTGAAATTACATGCAACTTCAACGTGGTATCATTGTTACTTGTTTTGTGTCAGGAGAAATTCTATGATTGCATTCATAATTCAACCAAAAAAGTCACTAGCCATAAAAGGGTCAATACAAACTAGCCACAAAAGGGCTATTACAATAACAAAGCGGTCTAACATCAAAATTAAGACAATCTGGTGGGCCTCCACTAACGATCACGTAGAATCAAAGAAATTCTGGTATAGACATCCCACTAAAGCTAAAAAAAAAAAAAAAAAAAAAAAAAAAAAAAAAAAAACAATACAAATAAAAAACTACTCACACAAGGAGAGATGAAAAACAAAGGAGGTGAAAAGCTCTCATAAAAGGAGAGGTGAAAATTACACAGAGAACCCAAAGAATCTATGCAACTTATTCCAAACATAAAGAAACCGCAAAAAAGATGGTGGTGGGGATCTGATGCCAAAACGCAGGTGGAGATCCAACATTGAGACGCAACCATCTGTGATTGTTGGATGAAAATCATAACAAAATGAAGACAAATAGAGAAAACCATTTGTATTTGAAAATGGGGGAAGAGGTGAAGGAAAGGGCACATGAAATAATAAAATTCCTATTGTTAGATATATCTACTAATAACATAATAAACAAACGCATGTAAGGTTGAACATGGAAGAAAATGATAGAAACCTCTATATTACTGATACTTAAATATAATGGGAATGGGAGGAAATGGAATGATTTAAATTCCTAACTTTTCCCGCGTTTACTTGCAATTAAGAATGGAAAAAATATGTGGGCCCCACCTCAAAATCTGTAATCCCATCTCCTTGAAACCAAGAATCATATCAACTAAGGGGAGTAGTTGATCTGATTCCCATTCCTTTTTTCCCTTGCTACCTTCCAAAAATACCCCTACCACTTTACGATAATTCTAAAAGAGATCAACTTGTTTGGTATTGAACTCCAAACTATTTTTAAAATCTTAAAAAAATTGAAATTAAAATCAGAAAATTAGAAACCTTAATCCCCAAATTGAAATTAACAAAAGAAAATGAAGAAATGTGAGGCATAAACCCTATCAATTTTGGTGGTGAGAGAGAGAGAGAGAGAGAGATATATATATATATATATATATGTAAAACCACTTTTTTTGTTTTTAATAATAGGGGTGTTTTTGAATTTTTTTTGGGTTTTGATTTTTAAAAATGGGCCTACTAAACAGGTTTTTGGGGCAAATATGTTTTTGAGTTTATAAAATTGGATCCAAGTAGGATACCAAACGGGCCCTAAGTATTTTCCGTGTACATTATTGGTGAGTACTAAAGTTGAAATTACATGCAAGTTCAATGTGTTGTCATTGTTACTTCTTTTTTTTTCTTTTTTTTGTGTGTGGAGAAATTCTATGCTTGCATTCATAATTCAGCCAAAAAAAACCACTAGCCACGAATGGTCAATACAAACTAACCACAAAGAGGCCATTACAATAACGGAGCGGTCTAACATCAAAATTAAGACAATCTGGTGCGTCTCCACTAACTATCACGCATGATCGAAGGAACTCTGGCATAGACATCCCTAAATAATTGCAAATTGCAAAATTAGAAATAATAAAAAAGAAGATAAAAAAAAAAAAAAAAAAAAAAAAAAAAAAAAAAAAAAAAAAAAACAATACAAATAAAAACTAATCAACAAATGAGGGATGAAAAGCTCCCACAAAGGAGAGGTGAAAAACCCTCATAAAAGGAGAGGTGAAAACTACACAGAGAACACCAAAAAGTCTCTGCAACTTATTCCAAATATAAAGAAACCGCAAAAAGATGGTGGTGGAGATTCGATGCCGAAACACAAGTGAAAATCCGACGCCGAGACGCAGCCGTCTGTGATTGTTGGATGAAACAACAAAACGAAGACAAATATGGAAAACCATTTGTCTCTAAAAATGGGGGAATAGGTGAAGGGAGGAAGAGAAGAAGGGAAAGGGGAGGAAGAACTCTCTATTGAGTTGTTGTACTACTGACAGCTTTTAAGGGGCAAAGAAGCTTGGCTTCCTCCACCTACAAAGTGAAAACAGCTCTAGGAGTGTTTTGGAGAAAGGGCACATGGAATAATAAAATTCTTATTGTTAGATATATCTACTAATAACGCAATAAACAGGCGCATGTAAGGTTGAACATGGAAGAAAATGATAGAAACCTCTATATTATTGATACGTAAATATAATGGGTATGTGAGGAAATAGAATGATTTCCATTCTTGACTTTTCCCATGTTTACTTGCAATTAGGAATGAAAAAAATATGTGGGCCCCACCTCAAAATATGTAGTCACATCTCCTCAAAACCAAGAATCATATCAACTAGGGGGAGTAGTTGATTTGATTCTCATTCCTTTTTTCCCTTACTAAATTCCAAAAATACACTTACCACTTTACGATAATTCTAAAACACCCCAAAGCAATAAAAAAAATTCAATGATTATGTATTAATCACCGTTGGAAAAAGCAAATTTTTTTCCCTTTTCACCTTGGCTGCTAGCCTCTACTTGTCTTGTTATGCTTCTTATCACTACGTCATGTTTATTTATTTTTTTCATATTGTATTCTTTATATTATTATATACTAGTTTTTTCATCACTTGCCATATAGTATCTTATATTATACATTAGTTATAAAATAAAGTTTTGTCAATTTTCTTTTTTACAAGTTACTTAGGTGAAAAATATATATTTATATGTACATGACATTCTAGTAATCAAATTAGTTTAGGTTATGATTCATGAGAATTAGCAAACAATAACAATGAGATTCAACTCCATGCTGATTTCATATGGTTAGTAAACAACTCAATTGAAATGATTCTTCCCATACCGATTCATTACTTCCTTGATTCCTAAGTTTCTCGATTCCTTACTTTCTCAATTCTTGATAAGTAAACGGCCTCTAAGGAGTTTCATGAAAGACAAGTTGGACCGAAGTTAATAAGAATGAAATGAAATGAAGTATTAATATCATGATGAATTTGGGTTTCATTGGATCCCATCTCTTTGTTTTCTTTTTGAACCTCTTCATGTGATTTTGGAGCCTATTTTATTTACGAAAAAAATTTCACTTCTCTATAAAAATTTGGGCCCTTCAATGCAAGGCTCGGAGCAATGGCCCTTTAACCTTTTTTAAGGTTGGACCTAAAATACACACTAGTTGGGCGGGAGGAGCCAGAGTGCCTAAAACTTCCATGCGAAACTTGTTTCCCATATTAATCCATTTTTTTCTTTTTCTTTTTTAAAGTTGCAGCATTAATGAATTTGGTGGAAGAAAGTCTGAGGATATATTGAGCAGGTTCATCTAAAGTTGTGGATTTTACGGAAGGAGTTTGTAGTTCAAGTGGCTAAAAATATTTACCTATGCATCCGAAGTTGTAGGTTTGATTCTCCATTCTCTAATATCGTTTGTATAAAATATAAAAAATTAAGTTGTGCATTTTCTATTGCCCTTTTTTTTGTTGTCAGAACAGTTTCTATTGCCCTTAGCCCAACTTTTTTTTTCCTCTATGCCCTTAGCCTAATTAAGAGGGCCCGTTTTAATTCTGGTTCTCCACCTTTTGATCCATCAAGGTTCATCAAAGTGCAATTTAATGCAAAATGTATTTAAGAAAGAGTGTTGTTAAATAAACTTTAAAATTAACTGAATACACCCTATTACCAAAGTATTTATTGAATTACTAATTTATCCTAATATAAAATGACCAAAAAGGATATATGGAATTGTGAAACAAATATAATTTTAATAAGTACACTGCACTCACCATATTCAACCCTAACGTAGAGAAGTTTTTGTATAATTTTAAGGGTCTTTGATGCTTCAAAGGCTTAGAGATTCCTTACAAACACAACGAAAGACAAATGTCGGCATTTCTCCATGTACTTGATTCTTCCTGATGTAAAAGATGGGCAGCCATATTTGAATGAAATAGTTTGTTCCAATCTGACTTCTTAGCTCAACATCATCCATACAATAAAGTTGAAGTGGATGACTTTAAAATCCTAGGGTTTAAACTTTTCTTCTAACTTGGAAGCATCCAAAATTCTCAAGGATTTCAGACTGGTAATGATGCATTTCACTAATAATTCGACAGAGATGTTTGAGTCCCCTTCACATAGTTCAAAGAAAATCACAAGGATTTACAAGAATTAAGCTTCAAATTGTAGGAGCTAGCAAATCTACTCCCACAACAGCTTACGAAATTAAAGATATTGATGTGAACCCAAAATCTGAAAAGAGGGCACGAATTCATGTAAAAAGAGAAAAATAGTTTAGAATTGGTATTATACTGTTGTGTGATAGAGTGTATTAGGGTGTACTAGGGTAATTTTTGGTAGTTAAATATGGTGTATTTAGTTAATTTTACATTTTGATTAAAATATTATGGTGTACTTAAATCATAGGGTGTACTTAGTTAATTTTAGAGTTTGTTTAGCAGCATTTTAGAGTTTGTTTAGCAGCACTCTTTAAGAAAATATCAACATAGTCAAACGACATATGATATGAATTTACATAAGTTTGCAAAAAGGGATGAAAAAGAAAAGAACTTTACAATATTATTACACAAATCATTTCAGCATGGATTGAACATTATAACTAAAAACCAAATTCCAAATTGAAGACAGTTGTAATTAACCAAGCTACATAACTTGTTGAGGTCATTTATTTTTTTTTTTTTTTTTTTTTTTTTTTTTTTTTTTTTTTTTGTTTACACTAACAAAACAGGGAAATTACAGAAAAATGGAATTCCCAGTTTGGGGAAAGGTTTCAGTAATCTAAAATTAGTTTCCTTTCAACAAGAAGAGGTAGCTGGCCAGCCTCTTTCTGCCCAGGTCTTAATTTGCTCATCTTGAAATGTCACATATTGTGGGGTAGCTTAGCTGTTCAATTTCCCAGCTTAGCTTTGAAGCAACTCTTTCATGGCGTGGGAAATATTCCTAAAAACAATTTAAATAATAAAAAATTAATTTATGCAGGACCAAGTTTAGTCAAATACAGTAGACCAAATAATTTTTCTTAAATTAATATTAACAATTTACAAACAGACAAAATAGAAAGTTGGAAGAAATTTTTTAAAATTTTGTACCTCCATTTTCTTCACTAGCTCCTTAGCAGTAGGGGCAGAAACGATTATGTGTCGCGCAGTTGGACTAATGAAACCCTCTTCAACAGCCTTGTCAATAAACGACAACAACGAGTTATAAAACCCGTCCACATTCAACAATCCCACCTGCACAAGAAGAAGAAAAAAGGACATTTTTGTTCAATAATATTCCACATTTTTGTTTGATTATCCTATCGCGATGTCGTTTGGTAGTCACAAGACATTACTATTGCTATTCTAATTCGATTGAACTAGTTTGGTGCTCTCAATAGAAGGTGGGATTCGACTCATCAAATTGGATTCCTTTCCCACTTTCTCATTTCTAGTGGTGACTCGCGAGACTCTACGGGACACCATGTCAAGTTCAAAACTCAGTTCAGTGATGTCTTAGACTGACCCACCAAACCAAACGGGACTCATCAAATTGGATAGACATAGTGCATAGAAATAGTGCTTACAGGTTTATCATGGATTCCCAGCTGGGCCCACGTGATCACTTCAAGAAGTTCTTCAAGAGTTCCATAACCACCTTCAACATATAAAAAAATAATAATAATTAGAAAAAATAAAAAATAGAATCAGATATTCTACTAGCATAGCAATAGTCAAGCTTTCTTCTTGCTTTAAGGAAATGGGCTGACCCAAGATGACTTGATCTATCCAAGCCTGAACCCAGTTGAAGTGAAACTCCAGGCCCAAAGTTGGGCCCCCAAAATAAAATCCAAAAAAATTAAAAAAATAAAAGAAGGAAAACTTGTAGGTCCACAGCTGGCTTATCAAAGGACCATTTTGGTAAAACTGTCATTTTCTTCTTCTTCTTTCTTTTTTTTATTTTAGTGAATGGGTGGGAGTGTGACAGAACTGCTGGTACTAACCACAGAAAGCGAGAGCCTCCTTCGGAAGTCTAGTTTTTGGTACAATAGGGTGATGATAAATCAGAAATCAACTAGGGTTATTAATAGGGTTTGAATGGCTGCTTTCCGACTATAAGTGTCAGATTCTTAGGCATAGATATTAGGTGTGGTAAAACATTTCAACAACGTCACACTCACCGTAAGAATTTGACTCTCGTTGTCTCATCTTTTACATAAAGCAAAAGAAGAAACAGAAACGAACTATCACAAAAGTTATAGTCACGCATTCTTTTTGGTTTGTTCAATATCTAAATGCTATATGCTTGGGAATAAATAAAATATACCAAAGTGAAGAGAGAAATTTTCTTTTTAGAAATCATTTGTAAAAAGTAGTAGAAAGATGCTTAAACAAGGAGGGGCTGGGGAGGCAAATGTTTTTGGCCAAATCTAAATCCCTCCAGGAATGTGGTTGACAAGGCCAAGCAGCTTTCCAGCGTTGACATGACACATGCATAACAGTACCTTTGCAGCTTTCTAATAAGCCTAGACTGTAAATATGGTTACTGTATACAGTCTTATATATCCTGCTAAATCCCACTACTGTCTGTCAGCTTCATCTTTTATTGACTTTGTTGAGAAAGAGAACGAAGAAGGTTAGGATGAAACATTTTTTAATTGAAAAATATAATTTCAAAACCAACTTCCATATTAAAGACTTAAACAAGGAGAAATGCTCGTGTGAAACGGGATAGACGTAAACCCAGTTATTTGGAACTGCACAGAAAGCAAATGAGACAAGTGGATATGTATGAGTGTGTGTGTGTGGGGGACCCTTAACAGGGATTTGACAATATATATCTTGACATGGGGAATATTCTTTAGCAAAAATTTTAGTAGGATTTACATATTTTCAAAGGCTCTTTTTAGCTTGGTGTGTATATGTATGCCTTACAATATGGGCCATGTCAACTCAGTTGACTCTGGGAGGGAAATAGTTTCTTTAATGTGAGTGCACTTTGAGTAAATCATACATGTCATGTTGTTCCCAATTGAAATTAGTGTGTTAAGGTGTGTGTTTAGTATGAAGTAATTAATGCCAAGTTTTGTACCAACCAGGTAAGGCAATAAAGGCATCTGAGTGCTTAGCCATCTCTGCCTTCCTTTGGTGCATGTCTGCTACTGCCTTCACTTCCCCCACTGTTTCTCCAGTTATCTGAAAACGCATCCAATAAACACAAATTGGTACCAAAGGCAGAAAAAAAGCACAAACAGACAGCAACTGAGAGAGAGAGAGAGAGAGAGAGAGAGAGAGAGAGAGAGAGAGAGATTTTTCTTAGTGTTGGGTACAGAGAAACAATAATGAGGGGTACACAGTGGTGGGCTCAATCCAAACTCACACCAGGGGCAGGCAAAAAGAAAGAGAAGGAAGATACAAGAAATTACAGGCATAAAAGGTTGATATTTTTTTGTTTCATGAGAATCTGAGTTACTACTAGTGGGTGTATAAAGCTAGTAGAGAAGGACAAAAATGTTGAAGGACCTAGACTGGCCATGTGGATTTAGGGATGAATTCAAACAGTTCCACATGTGAAAGCTGAAAATTTGGGGGACCAATCAAATGTGAAGCCAGAGAGCCCAGCTACTTGAATCTTGAATCTTTAAAGAGACATGTGAGAAAACCCAGAATTTTAAGATAACAAAGATAAGGTAGAAATTCATCATTCATGTAAATGTGGCCACCACAAACAAGATGAATAAAGTACTCCATATCTAAAAGAAAGGGAAAAAGAAGTAGATAATGCTCTCTCTCTCTCTGTCCTTCTCTCCCTAGTTGTATTGTATGGTCATTTTCAGTTTTTGATGTCACATGGAAAATTCTTGGAACAATTTAACATAAACAGAGAACATACCTCTCTAGGCATGAGTGTCTTGGGGATAACTCTGCAGAGACAATAACATGACAAAAATCAGCTTGAGAGACTTGAGATGAAAGCCAAAGTCTATAATAATATCAATGAAGAAAGGCAAGGAGAGAAGTAAGGAGGAATTGAGATACTCACCCAATGACATGTCTACCACCATCATAAACAGCTTGGGAAATCAACCCCATCAAGCCAACACTGCCTCCTCCATAAACCAAATCAATGTTCTTTGAAACCTTTTACAAACCAGACAACAAAGAATACTCAGTAAAGGGAAATATTTCCAACAGGAATCCATTTGAGAGAGAGAGAGAGAGAGAGGAGAGAGAGAGAGAGAGAGATTCATCTATTAAACTACATTTGGTTGTTCCATGAAAGTGGGAGGAAGGATGAAATGATTTCATTGTGTGATTCAAAACCTTCTTTACGTGTATATATATATATATATATATACATATATAGATATAGAGACAGAGAAAATAATATGCAGGGGTTTTGGAGACAGAGCAGATATGAAGCAGAGGCTTGAAATTGAGCATGGTCAGACTAAAGACTAATATGATCAGAAACACCATTTGAAAATATAAACCAATGATACATACATATATTATATAGAACAACAATGAAGATCAACCTAGTTGAAGTTCAGCTAGATAACCCACAACTCATTTTGCAAATTCACTGGAACATAAAATCAAACACAAAATTCTCAACTGGTTTTGGCTTAAAAACCTACAACTCACAACAGTTCATGCAAAAACAAATGACAAATAACCAGTTCCATAAAAAAAAACCCAACTTGGAAACTCAAAGAAGAAGTAGAAAAAGTAAAAAAACACACACAAAAAAGCCAAACTTCAAATAAACAGAGGTATTATTAGTATAAATAGTATTACCAATTCTTCTCCAAGCTCAATAGCTGCCTCCTTATAACTGCTTTTCTTTCCTGGGCTACTTCCACAGAACACACAAATTCTCTTGAATTTGGATTGCTTCATTTCCTTCTCCATATTATTCTCTCTCTCTCTCTCTCTCTCTCTCTCTCTCTCTCTCACAGCTTCACAGTTGGGAAGAGGTGTGGTGTGGTTTAATGGGGCTGCGTTTGCACATATATATAACGGTACACCATATAGGCGTATTTTAGCACGCGCAGTTCCATACTGAACAGTCCATGTACCCTTTACGGACCACACAGAAAGAGAGAGAGGCTCATTTTATCACCGAGTTGTATCCAATCTATCTTTACCCACCAATCAGAATTAGACTTGAGACTCTCTGTTTTCCTGCGAATTTTTAATATATGTGATGTGGTGAAAAGATATTAATAATATGTACTTTTTCTTTTTCTGAAGACGTTTGTTAAGAAATTAGCCCCTTACCGACCAAAGAAAAAAAGACATGAGCCCTTTGGCATATGCGTGAGTTTGTATTAATTGAATTTTTTCTTCTTCTTCCAATTCACTATTAGGGAAGAAGAAATTAGTTTGCTTGTGTCTCATGAAAATAAGACTCACGTTCTCGTTCAGTCACACTTTTTAATATTTTCATTAACTGTTGGCATTTTGAATGTTTCATTTTTGAGACCAAATGTTATAGATGAACTCCCTATAAACACGCTCGACATGAATAAAATGTTTGCTTTATTATTATTTTGCAGTCTAGTTTCTCGTTATTTAGTTATTTATGTCAAGTTCGTGCAAATTCATGTCAAATTTGTACTCATTTGCAGTCAATGTTTTACTTCAAACATGACACAAAACATGGTGTCATGCCAATATTTCATACTAATTTTGTGTCGCAATATCTTGTCATTATCAAAATTTTCACCCCTAAGTTAATAGGCACCGCACTACAAGAACGTTATAAAACGTACTGGGGTTAAAAAACATTGCTTTTGTTACAGAATAACAATTTTTTTGGGTGTAAACTGGGCCGAAGCCTTTTTCTGTTTCTTTTTTGGTAAACTGGGGGCTAACTATAAATTTATATAAATGTGGTATAAAAAAAAAATTGTATAAATGTAATAAATTTAATATATATGTATAAAAATATATTTACCATATTTTCTATTTAAAAATGTATAAAGGAATATAATTATAAAAACAAGTAATGTAGATCCAATTCCAGTGGTTGTACAATTTAGTCCAAAACTCCTTGACACACCATACACATTCATCAACCACACTATTATCCTTATCCTTTTGAAATAAGCGCATATATATAGAGTTTTTTTTATTTTTTTTTATATGTTAAGAATGTCCTTGTGAGAAAGTGCCACATTCCTTTTAGATTATCCAACAATGCATTTCAATAATCGGAACTATTTATATTTTTGGTTATCCTTCAAGGGTTATCTTTGCAAAAAGAAAAAAATCATCTAGATTAGAAGTTAGTTTGGTAATCTAACATGTGCACACACACACAAATGCAGTTTGTTTGATAAAACTTAAATGAAAATGTGGATAATCAAATAAATGATCAAGTCCCTATGGTACATACATGTGTGTGTGAGGTTCCTCCCTCCCCCTTTCTAACTTCGGCTCGAACTGAGCCGAACGCAAGATTCAAGCGATCAAGTCCAAGTTGGGAGCCCTCAAATACCGAGTGTTAGTAATTGAAGTGCAATCTATGTGTGGTGATGTAAAATTGATGAATGAGAAAGGAGTGCTAAAACAACTGAAAACTTAAGCATTTTCAATAGCCAACGGGGTCTAGCTAAGTGAAAATGGTCTTGACTTTGCTCGCAGACCAATAATCTTAAATTCAAAACCTTATGTCACCTTAGTATATGTGTAACCTATACAAGTATATGCTCGCATGCTAAATGACTAGCATAAATCATTATATATATATATATATATATAGTTGTATGTGCAGGTTGATCACATGAGGGAAGCCATGACCCCATCTTAGATGTACCCTGAACCACCCTCGTTTCCTAGACAAAGCTGTTGTTTGCGTAGGAAACATTTATATTTATTACATACAAAAAGGAACAACATCCCTCCATATTTGCCCACATTCTCATTCTCATCTCGACCAAAACATGCTGTCTTACTCCCAACCCCCTTGGCCTACCAAAATTCTTTGCTTCCTCCACTCTAAAACTTGAATGATTTTTCCCCTTTTTACGACTTAAATATGTGCCAATAGCTCAGTAACTTTTGTGGCTTTTTATTTATTTATTTATTTACTTATTTGTGATATTTCATTGCCTGGATTATTGGAACTGTACCCTTTGCCCTTAAACTAATCTTTGTTGTAATATTATATAAACATCTTCTTTTCCCACCTCAAGTTGTCAATAATTTATTCACTAATTTGATTAGGAGGAGGTTTGTTTGATCAGTAATTAACAGAACATGTACGTACATTTGATTGGATATGGATCCCTTTTCTAGTTCATCCACACCATTATTGGAAGCTACTCTCTGGTCTACTACAATTATTCTCCATTTCCTTAGAGTCGGCTGGTCCACACTCAAATTAAGTGCACGGAATTGCATTCTAATCCTATGAAATGAATTGACTAAATCTACAAATAATAAAATTGGTTTGTTACTGACAAAAAAGAAAGAAAAACTTGAGTCTTACAGTTTTTTTTTGGGTGTCCGAAGGAGTGTCACTTGAGTTTAGATAACCTGTTTTTTAAAACCATAAATAAATTGTTTGTTAAGAACATTAGAATAAAGATAAGGGTCAACGGGGCCTAACCCAGTAGAAAAGTGTCTTGATTTGCAGTCTCAGGTTCGAATCCACATAGCACCTTAGCAATGTGCGTGAGAAAAACCCCGCTTCGTTGTGTTTTTATTAGTGTATGTGTGACTAGCTTCATTAGTTCATATCCCAAACCCTAAACCTCAGCGCCTCACGTCTCTTTTCATTTCAAACATACGCATAAGTTTGGTGCAGTTTTGTCTCCGAAAAGTTGGGATGCACTTGCAGGGGTAGAAAGATATTTTTAGTCCTACCAACGCCCGACCTCTCCGTTTATTACCTTCTTTTCCCAATAGCAGCTTCTCTCGACTTTTATATGACTTTCTTCAGATTCTCTAATGCAGTATGTGACTTTTAGTAAATTATATTGCCATCTTTTTACGTTAATATTGGTTGTCAGATTTGAATTTTAGTCATTTTAGTTATGAGTAATATTTTAAATATATACGCAGTACAAAATTGTAGGCACAAACTATTAGTAAATACATTGATATACCTATATAATGTAGGTATTAACACAAATATACTTTATAACTTTGTTTTAATTTTGTTCCGAAAACGAACTACACTTACAACGAAGCTCATCATCTATGGATCTTATAACCATATTAATCAAATTTAAACCTAAATAAAATATCCATAGGAAAGTTACTAAACCAGATACAAGTATTTGTAGAATAACTTCTTCACGAAAGTATCAGATGTCATATTAACCTTACGAAAAATATATTTAACGGATGCTCGGACACTTCGTTTATGTATATACTCAGGAAAACGTACCTAATATTAAAATAATAACATGAAGTTTTAATCTAATATTTGGCTTTAAAATATTTACTCTCTCATTAGGTCAGGGGCCTTCTACAATGCAAAGCCATTTGTGTTAGCATCTTGACAATGTATGATGTATCAGTGGACTTTTCTCATCCATTGCATTTGCTCCAACGACCAAGCTACAGATGCCCTCTGTGAACCAATCCCCGAGAGTGCGTGACAAATTGGATTTTCTAATTGTGGAAATACAAAGACAACTCTGCTTGCCCAAGGCGAGCAGATAGTGACTTTAAAAGACCATGTTCTTATGATCAGTACATTTCACTGGTACAGTTTAGTCTTATCTGTATAATTTTGTTTTCAATAAAGAAAAGGTTACATCAAATATTATGAAACAAAAGGAATTTATATTCTTAAAGTACAACTAAGAAATTGGCAAAGGACCCACTTGTGTGCGGTTTGAAACAAATGCTTCTCCAAGAAAACGGAATATCGGGACCTATTGGTGGAGCTCTCTAAATTTTTTCCAAATTCCATCCCATTTTCTAACTAGTTGTAATTATTTGTTATGAGTTAATGCCAATGTCTCGGCTAGCTAGCAAAAGAGAGAGCATATATAAAAGGATTAGTCAAATATGGCCTGCTAATTAACATTTCATAATTCTGCTATCTTTTTGGTGGAGGCAGGAATTTATAAAATGGTTTCGCTTTAAATCACTTTCCTTTTTCGCTTTAGGAATAATAGGGGGATATGTCCTTGTTTGTTGGAGTTGTCGTCAAATATTTGAGACTAAAATGATGGAATTCCAAATCAGAAAAAAAAATATTTATAAATAAATAAATAAATAAATAAAACCTTTCCACTTTCGTTCATCCCCTGCTGCTATATGCTATAGACCTAATGAATTAATTATGACCAAATATAAAGCCTACATAAGAAAGGTCTTAGATTATGGCCATTTTCAAATTCCACTTACAAAACATCTATTAACCCGTGATCACGTTTTGTCCCCTCCTATCAGGAACATCAATCTTCTTCAACTTCATGCTTTCCCTCCTTTTCATCAACCGAAACTGCTTACATTATTTTCAACTCTCAATGGGCGAGGTAGGTTTCTAAGATATGAAATATAGATTCAATCCAAGAATCTGATCTATATCTAAAAGATGTAGTTTATGAAACTCTTAGTTCAAAAACAATTTGAAAATCTCATTATGGAAATCTTGATCTTACACATCTTGAAAATGCAAAGCAAGAATAAATTCTAAAAATTCTCATTGCATGAAGCAGATTTCAAAAACCAGAATCAAAGTTTCGAAAGTATTTTGAAAATCTCATTCTAAAAAAAATTCAGACCTCACTTAGCTCACCATTTGCAGAGAATGAGAAGAAGAGGACTTTTTCTCTCTCAAAAAGAAAAAGGAAAAAAAAGAGATGAATGAATGAATTGAAGGCTACCCAAGCCTTGGCCCCATTTTTCCCAAAATTGAGAAATAATACACTTGTCGGTTCATTATTGGAGATGTAATAAGACAAAAATCGTTAGGACATAAACCCTATAGCTGACATAAAAATGACGCTTAAATGACAGCTGTTAGTGAGCTGGCAGTAACACATTCATTCATCTTTCTGTAATCATCTTGAGTGCAAACTTAAACGATGACTAGTCATAACAACTATCATTCTCTCTCTTTCTGTAATCATCTTAAGTGCAAACTTAAACTAGCCTAAATTTCTTGAGCTTGATTGATTACATACGAGATTACAAGTTTGTTCCGTCCTTGAAGCTAGTGCTCATCAATTGGTACATTATGCTTTGTCAATAATTTTAGAGTTTTTTTAAACAATTTGAGGAAATACCTAATTTTATTCAGATGTGTTGCTCTAGAATATGATTGTAATTTCAACTAAATTTCTCTCACTAAAATTGCCGTATTTTCTATAATAATAATAATAAAAGAAATTGGAGTTGCATTGCAGGATTCATGGGGATATGTAGTCAAGCTTTGAATATTGGCATTATTGTCAAATGAAGATATAATGCTAGTCAGAGGCTTTACCTTTACTCATCATAAGGAAGAGACATCTCTTTCAATCACTTTATACGTTTGTTAATTTGAAGATGCTGTGTCTGCAGAGGACCAACTCTCTAGAAATGGGATCTCTTAACCGAATAATATTGACATAAACCAGATTGGAATCATAAAATATTATGCCTACAAAATTCCTCAAAATTGCACTTTTGGAAGAACATTCAATTTTTCTGACCATCTTTATGCATGTTTGATTATGAAAGTGTGCATGAATTTTAAAACCCAAGCTATATGGGATCATTCCAATCCATCATAAACCGCCTACTGCACTTTCATTAAAAATTTCTCAAAAGCTCTCCCTTTCTGTGCACCGCCATTCAAAAGCTTTGCGCGTGGAATCTTGCTGCTTTCTTGACTACGGGGCTCAATTCAAACCATCATTTTTCAGGTCCTAAAATGTGCAGACAGTTACCTTCAATTTAATTCTATCCATTTTTTTTTTTATTTTAATTTTTTTTTTTTTGTTTTTGGGAGGGAGGGTTTTTTTTTTTTTTTTTTTTTTTTTTTTTTTTTTTTTTTTTAATACTTGCCACAAGTTGTACCTCTCATTACCCCTCATTCACTAATTATCCATCATTAAAATTCTTAAGGGTAAAAACAACAAGAACTGTTTCACAAAATAAGAAGGTAGTAGTGTAAAGGGCTTGTAACTCAAGCTGTTAGGAGTATTTACTCATGCATTAGGTTCGATTCTTCCTTTTTTAATATCGCTTGTATAAAAAAATTAAAATTAAAAAAAGAAGCAATAACTCAGGTCTTTTTATTTTACCGAATTAAGGAAGAAGAAATGAATGGATCGGAGCACCCTACGTGTTCAAATTCTTCATCATTCCAGGAGTAGTCCCGGGGGCCATATTAGCATAATGTCGGCGGATAATATTTTGTTCATATGAGAAAAATCAATCCGTAACTTTCACCTGTCCAAGCCAATAACAAAAGAATATGGAAAATCTGTATGGAAGTTTATTGTTTCGTCGGCTAAGATTCTATTCAGAGGTTTAGATGTGGACTGTATTCTTAATTCAGAAAAGTGCTCTATGTATCAACTCTCTCTTTCTCATGGAGAACGACACCCACCTATCCAGCCAGCGCAAAAAACCAATCTGCTGATTAAAAATGTCAAAAACTATACACGGTTTGAAACTTTCGTTTAATCTTTCTAGCATAAATCATAAATACGAAACGCTAACCTTAAAACCCTCAGACTCCAAATCGACTTCGTCTTTCGATTTGTAGGATCCGAATTTGAGTTGTCTTTCGACGTTAAAAAGAGAAGTAGTTCTATAATAATTCCTCAATCAATAACTATATAGTTCTAAACATAATAATTATAAGTAAGTTAGAATTGATTAATGATAAGAAAATTGAAATAAAAGAAAAGTAAAGAAGAAGACAGAGAGTAAGTGTTGGTGATTTAAGTGTACCATCATGGCTTACGAGGGAGGGTAGAGTGGGTTGTCAACTTTTTGACAAGCAAGTTGTTCCAATCCGGACCAAAAGGTGACCACCGACTTCCTATTTGTCCACAGCGGACACATCATTTGCTTTTTCTTTGGCTGGTCAACATCACAAAGAAGCTTCAAAATTAGCCACTAATGTTCAAATAAAGGCACAAAAAAGAAGCAAAAGCTATGCACGTAATTCCATATGACTTTGGCCCTGTGGGTTATTAATTCATTAATTCGTTATGTGCGTGTAAATGTGATCAAACATGTGGCCTTGTCTTGTCTCTACGACTTATTTTGGAAATGGCATGTTCATACGGAATTTCATGGATGAATATGATTGTTTAGTAATAGGCCAACAAAAGGATAAGGAACAGAAAAAATACAAATTATATACGTAAGTTCAGACAACGAAAAACTATTGTTGCTGTGTTCTCTAATCAATATGTTCTCTGTTTCTATTGAAAATGACTTAAAAGCTCATGCATATTGTAATTTTCGATTCATATATTGAACTCACTATAAATACGTATTATTTTTGTATTTATATGAGTTAAACTTGAAATCTTCTCCGAGCAGAAAAACAAAATTATCACTTCTCAAGTTGTGTTTGATGGACTAGAATCCTGACAATATGATGAAAAACATTACGATTTATTTACTCTTTTGCTAGAATCGTTCTCCTCAACATCCATTCTCTTGTTGTTTTCTTCTTCATAAACAATTTGATTGAATGAAAAGAAAAGAGAAGGATTGTTTGAGAATTGAGTTCCGAGTACAGAGGAGTCATAAGAGCAATTGAGGAGTTGTACACTTTCTTCTTCTTCTTCTTTTCATTTTGTCAATGTAACATCCCACATCGACCAACGGAGAGGGGGTGATGTGATTTATGTGTACATGCTAGGGGTGGTTGAAGTTCGGTAACCGCAAATTTTTGCCCAAACTGCGAACCGACCTACTATTTGCGGTATGGTGATTTTCCAAACTGCGAACCGACCGCAAATTTGCGATAAACCGCAAATTGCGGTCGGTTACCGCGAATTAGCGGTTTAAAACCGCAAGTTCTCAAGCATTCACAAAAATATAAATTCACGACCTAAATAAATAAATACACAACCTCAACTTATCAAACATATTATAAATTCACAATCTCCTCAAGCATATTATAAATTCACAACCTAAAGAAAATTAAAGTTACAATTCCAAGCATTCCAATTAAAGTTAAACTTCTCAAGTATTCCAATTCCAAATCCTTTAAAGTTACAAACCAAAAGCAAAATGAATTAAAGTTACAACCAAAAAGAAAAATCCAATTCAAAGTTAATTAAAGTTACAATATAAAAGGAAAATGCAATACACCAATGTTACACACTAAAGTTACAAACTCAAGTGTTGGTGGTGAGTGGATTTGAAGAATCCCGTTGTGTTGTTTGAGCACCAATGCTATCTACAAATAAAACAACATAGTTTAGTACATTTTATTATAAGAAGAAGCATAAATAACATTAGCATAAATAAACTAATTACTTACAAGTTGTCATATGTTCCATTTCCTTGTAGAATTCAACCTCATCATCCATTGGTTCCTTGTAAAAGGAAAATTCGTCCGCTCTAAGCCAATCACTAGTACACACTAATGCCTCTACCATTTTAGGATGCAAAGAGCTTCTAAAAGGATCCACAATCCTCTTGCCTAGGCTAAAAGCATTTTCACTAGCAACCGTAGAACTTGGAATTGCAAGGATATCCTTGGCAACTTGCGAAAGAATAGGATATCTTGTTTGGTTCCCTTTCCACCAATCACACTCATTATCTTTGCCTTTTCAACCATGAATAACTCTCACACCCCCTCGGCAACCTTCTTCCTACTTGGTACCTTGAAACGAGGTTGCACCCCGTTCATCATTTCTTAAAACCCAAGCCCTCAACGACTCTAAAAGGATGCTTATCCTTAATGATGAACTTCACAACCTTTAACTCACATTTTTTTGGATTGAATGTGTGAGGAACCAATCCACTACCCATTGTATCCGTTGTCAAAGAAGGTTGATTTGCATCACCTTGTTGTTGATAGAGAGGAGAGAGCTTGCATCTCCTCTCTATGTGATTTTTTAAACCCGTTGTCCCATTTTTTCTAGGGTCCACCGGCATCTCCAATTTGCAATAATTGCAAACCCCTATAACCTTTTCTACCCCATTACCATACTTCTTTATTTGTTTTGTGCAATGTAACCACACAATCGACTTTGGGGCTTTCCTCCTATCTCCCACCATAAGGCCCTCACTTGTGGGATTTTGTGTTTGAGTTGGAGATTGTGTTTCGGGTGTATCGGTTTGTGTTTGGGGATTAGAGGCATTAGGTGTGTTAGAGTGGCTAGACTCCATCTATAACACAACACAACACAAAAGCAACAACATAAAAGAATATTAATAACATTAACAGATTCAAAACAGATTCACATATTCAAAACAGATTCAAAACAACATTAATAGATTCAAAACAGATTCACAACAGATTCAAAACAGATTCACAGATTCACAACAGATTCACAGATTCAAAACCAAGCTGAAACCAAATATAAAAATACAGAACATACCTCTGCAAAACCAAATGCTCCAAGCTTAAAATAGAAATCTCCAAACAGTTTCACTTCAGCAACAATCCCTGCAAAAATCAATAACCGGTTTGTCTTAATGGAAACCATTTAACCAGTAAGATAAACAATAAACTATTTCAGAGCATCAGACAAACATTAATAAAAAGGTATCCTTTTGAAATGGATTTCGGGGCAGGAAAAAACATTATAATTCAATCAGTACACAAAAGAATAATGCCTCATATACATCCTCATATATATATATATATATATATATAAGCAGAAAATGAGAATGAGTCGGATCCAAAGACTACTTATTTTTCCATTAGTGAGATAGGTTCTTTCTGTAGGTATAAAATGATGAATGTCTAAACTCATACATAGCCACTAAAATCCCATCAATAAACTCAGTTCAAGGGTTTTGATTTCGATTGCCATTATAGGTTTGGTTGTACGTGTTTCTCTGACCTAAAAATCCCATCAAATTTGACATTACAAATTCCCAATTAAAACCTAAAACCCTATCTTTGAAACAATCAATTTCAGAAATTAGGAATACCAAAATTTACCTCAAAAACTGGTTATAGTGGTGGCCGACGGGTTTGAGAGCGACTGTTGACAGTGTGGGCGACGGGTTTCAGCCTAGGAACACCCTATCAGCTGAGAGCAGCTGTTGAGCTTGAGATACAGAGAGAGACAGAGAGAGAGAGCTTGAGTTGAGTGAGAGTGCTGGAGGTTGAGTTGAGAGAGAAGAGAGAATTGAGATCGAGAGAGAGAGAGGAGATGAGTTTGATACGGGTTTGTGATAGAGAAGCGTATTTTCAGAGTTGAGAAAGAGAGATAGTCGAATGAGAATCAGTGAGAGTGAGATTGGAATTGCATCTAACGGCTAGAGATAAGGCTACAGACAATTAAATGGAAATAAGGCTGTAGAGTATAGCCGTGCGGCTATACTTTGCGGTTTGCGGTAACCGCGGTATTTGAATATTGAATACCGAAACCGCAACCGCAAATACGGTTCGGTTCTTAATACCGCAAATGCGGTTCAGTTTACCGTGATTGTTATTTTATTGCGGTAAATTGCCGGTTGATTTTTGCGGTTTTTCAGTTTTTCGGTCCAAAATGCCACCCCTAGTACATGCTCACCTCCATCTAGCACGAGAACTTTTGGGAGCTCACTGGCCTATAACTCCGAAGTTAAGTGAGTTGGGGCTAAAGCAATCACAGGATGGGTGACCCACTGGGAAGTTGCTCGTGAGTTCCTAGAAACAAAATCGTGATGGCAGAGAGGGGGGGCCCAAAGCGGACAATATCGTGCTACGGCAGAACCGGACGAGGACATCGGGCCCTTAAAGGGGGTGAATTGTAACATCCCACATCGACCAATGAAGAGGAGGTGATGTGCCTTATGTGTACATGCTCACCTTCATCTAGCACGAGGCCTTTTGGGAGCTCACTGGCTTCAGAGTCATGTGAACTCCGAAGTTAAGTAAGTTGGAGATAGAGCAATCCTAGGATGGGTGACTCACTGGAAAGTTAATCGTGAGTTCCCAGAAACAAAATCGTGAGGGCAGAGAGGAGGGCCAAAAACGGACAATATTTTGTTACGGCAAAGCCGATCCCATATTATGATGTGACAGTCAAATAGTAGAATGGGTTACATGAGTTGAGGTTTATTTTTGTAATATAACTAAAATGATGAAATCAGTTTGTCTTTAACACTACAAAGTTATAATCCCGATAAACTGATATTTGATCATTTTACAGAAGTAAAACAGTTCATGTGTTGTTTAATTGTGAACATAACAAAATTATCAAACACATATCTCGGTAGTGAAAGATGTATATATATTCTAAATTTATTTTCACATGTTTACTTTTATCATGGAAAATTGATTTTTATGTCATACTTGACACTACCTATATTTAAGGATATGTCAAATGCAAAATATTAAGTTTAGATTTGACAGCCGATGTTACAAATTGACACTTTGTAAATTTTCTTAAATGTCAAATCTCATATTATTTTATTATATTTTGAAATAAAATAAGACTCATGATAATTAAAGCTTAAAAAAAATAATGGGCCCAACAAAGAAAAGTACCAAAATAACATCTAACTCAAAGACGTATGTAAATTTGACTACTTGGTTGAAATAATTTTTCATTCAATTCTTATCATTTCAATACACAAGGTGGACATATTGTGCGGAGACATGCACATTCAAAATATCAGTAAATTCACATTGATTAATATGTGCAATGAAGTCAATGAGGGTTGGTTGAGTTGGTAAGGATTGTTCTCTTCACTATTAAGGTCTAGGTTCGAGTCCCGCTGTCAATAATCTCTCTTAGTGGGTAATCTATAAAAACCAAAAAATGGCTAAGACTCCTCTGTAAATCCTCAAAGAGACTTTGGTATACCCTGACCCTAGAATGGGGTAGCCTCCCCTCCTCCTAAACTTTTCGTCACGGATAATATGTCTAATGAATTGTCCTTAGTCGCATGCTGTATGTTAATATGTCCAATGAATTGTCCTTAGTCGCATGCAATGAAAATGTCCTAACATAATCTCTATCAGACAAGAATAATCATTGTCACTATCATTAGTTAATTGTATTATGAATTAAGTTCATCTCCTTCACGTGAATGAAAATGAAATTGCCTTGACCTGTTGCTCATCAATCATGTGCTTTCCCTAATTGATAGATCGCCTAGTCTAAACTTTTTCATAAATGGGCGAATGGACTTTTCCAATTCTATGATCAAATTCTCACAAACAACAATCAAAATTAATCAATTATATTTGGACTATAATATATTCATAAAAAAATAATTAAATAAACATTTAATCAAAATATTATTTAAACAATATATGGTTGTCCGTTCAATAGTAATTGAATTAAAAAATTCATTTGACATGTTTAAGTTCGTCCATGTACGTTGTTCTTGCCATGGAGCACCTAATCCTGTCAATTTGTATTAAGGGGCTCGAGGAGTAGGGAGGATAGGAGAATTAACCCCTTTTTTTGGACGTTGTTTATGACTAATTAACTGCAAAAATAGTTCAATCAGTCACGATCGCCTTAGTTAATTATGACTGAAAATTAGTTATTTATTCTTACTATTGATATCTCTATAAAATGTCAACTTTATTAGTCGTGAATATTTTTGTAACGTTCATGTGAAAACCGACAAGTTGGTAGAAGATATTTAGAGTTGAATTGAAATCTTCTGAGTAAAGGAAAGAGAAGTCATAATACAACTATTACGTGCATGAAGTTGCTCTTATCTATACAAAATGTTTCTGAGCTTCTTCACCTATTGTCAATTGAATTTTGACTAAATGCTTTAATTTGGTCAATTTTTATGAACTAATACGAGAATTTGATTTAGTAAAACGAAACTCGTAGCCTTTCTTTTCCTTTTTCCTTTTTTAACTAGACAATCGAAAGAGTTGGACTTTGGAAGATAAATTTAACCCTAATCTTATAGCTAGCTCATCAATCGATTCATGAGTACGTGAGTGTTATGCAATGTATCACCTCTTTCCCTTTGTTGCTATAATTTATGGAGTTGAACTTTGTTGCCTTCTCACATGGCAGAATGAGCAATTGTGGGGCTTGGCCATAATGGGGAACAACTTTTTAGAGTGATCTAGGTTTTTTGTATGCCTTCTCAGAAATTGAAAAATATGTGCCCCTAAATTGTTATCGTTGCTAGTAGTAGTTGCAGGGTCCAATCACTCTATGTCTACAGAGCAACAGAGACGCATCATACCCTTCATTAATTAATAATTATTGATTTATCACCGGCCTTTGAAATTGAGTGTGCTGTTGACCTTGCCCCTGGGAATCTAACTGGTGTGGCCAAGTTTTTTTTGGGTCAAAGTTTGGAATGGAGAGGGATGTATCATTGGAGTTCAAACACGAGATTACTAATCTACAGAAAAATACTCTTACCAATTAGCTAGGTACCCGTTGGCGGTGTGGCCTATAGTGCCGTCCTATTGAACATAGCAATCTATATTCTGGGTTGCTGCCGCTGCCATGTTGTTGAGTCAGAATCCCATGAAAGGCAAAATAAAATCCTTTGTTATTTTTGTTCAGAAGCAAATTGGGATGTAGACAAAATCGGTTTGTAATACAGTTAGGGCTAATCCATTTGTAGTGGTGTGTGCTGGTCACTTGGACAAAAGAAACTCAACAAAGCAATAGATTGCTATCATTTTTTATGTTGGTGGGTTGTTTCTTCTTTTATCTGGTGATTATTATTGTTGTCTTTAAGACTATGGAAAAGGAGAAGAAAGCAGTCAAAAATTTACAAGCAGATGGACAATTGGAATATGTTAATGTGCATGCAAGTTCTGCAATTTTTTGTTATTAGTAAAAGTCAAAGGAGTTAGTTGTTCTGGAAGGAGGGAGAGGGAATTAATTTTCAAACACTTAATCATGGAAATAATGATTATTGCACTTCTTTCAACAAATGACAACTACTAATTAGGTGTTTTGGGTTATTAAGTAGGGTGATTAGGAGGACAATTAGGTCAGCAAACCCCTTTTGTTTTGTTTTTTTCTTAATTAACTTTCTTCTCGTCCACACAGTCAATGCCATAATTCAAAAGCCAGAGAGATGCTTTAGTTAATTTGACTTTAATCACTTAACTCAATTGTCATATCCAATGCTAATCAAGGACATGCAACCTCTTTAAACTTTTCTTTGTGGCACACAAAACTAACCCCAGATGGTGAAATCATTAGCATAGTTGTTATATGATTGTTTATAACTTTGTTCTCATACAATTTTGATGTGAAATAATACCCTATTTTTCTTCAAAAAAATTATCCACCTACACTCCTAACAAGCCAAGCTAGGCCGATGGTCAAAGTGGGTCCATTGTTTCATGACTAGGTTCTCACCAAGAGGAATGATTTTCTCTAGCCTGACTAGGACAAATGGACCCATAACATGTCCCTCAAAGGGAGGTTAAGATGTCTTAGAGGAATATGGGATTCTGACTAAGTCCTTTGGGACCCGACTTTTGCTTCCCTTTCATTGATTTTGTCCCCCTTTTTGAACTTAATTTATGTTTCATCTCATGAATTTGTCCACCAAACTCTCAAGTATGAAGACACCCTACCTTTGTCATGGCCACCATGACCAATTGTGTCATCTACCAATACATAAAGAAAACTGCAAGAGACGTGACCTGAAGCCTATCTCAAAACCCACTTTGTGCCATTCTAATTTACAATCAGTGAAAAGAATGTAAGAGACAGAAGTTATTAGTTCTCTATTCATACCAACGATATTGGGGAGGAAGAGAATCGAACCTAGGACCTCGAGTGCATTGGTAAATATTTTTAATCACTTGAACTACAAGCTCTTTTTATTAACTTTCTTTAAATTTATTATTCAAATGTAGCACAATTTTGTTTAAGTAATTATGCAGGTTGGATGGGAGTCAAATATTTTGGCTTTGAAAGTGCATTGAATTATTGTTGTTATTCTATTTGTCTTAAATCACTTTTATTTATGTTTAGGTGCAAATGTCATGCAAAAGCACGTATGCTTTCCAAATCGACAACATGGGTTTTAACTTTTGACATGTTGTAAACTTTAGACATGGTTTGGGTGCAAATTCTTGTTAGCTTTCCGGCTGCACTTTGGTTTTGTACGGAATTTAATCGGTCCAAGTCAAAAATCTTCATGTTATTTTCAAAAGTAATTCACATTTTTAATTCATCGTGCCTTATCTCAGATAAAATTCATTGAAAAATAAAGTGGTTTTTTTTTCTTTTGTCAAAGTTTGAAAGGGGTGGATGGAAAAAGTGTTATTGGAATTCGAACCTAAGACGATAGGTCTTCAGAAAAATGTTTTGACTACTGAACCATTGGGTGATGGACCCGTTAGCGAAAATAAAGTGGTTGTTAGCATTACACAAGTTTTTGGGGATTTGTGAAATGGAAGTTAGTTGTCACGGCCCAGGTGCTATAGTTGGGTCACACACAAAAATAAGTTAGGCCCAATTCTAGCTCAGTCTATAACCTTCTTTTTTTATGCAAGTTGATCTCACCTTCAGAGTCATGCTAAAATGGTATTGAAAATGTAACAAAATAATAAAATTTCCAATCACCTTCTAATGTATATAACCAAATAATAAAACAATTACATTAAGCCACCTCTGAATCTGATTGTATCCTAAGAGAGAGAGAGAGATATATATATATATATATATATAATTTACAGCAGAGCTCGTTAATTCACACCTATTTTATACCCAAGTCGTTTGAGTTTCACCATTCATTCCTCATCAACAGAAAAATCAGGTTCCGCTGGCTTCTGCAATGAGCTTACAACCCCAGAATCTGACCCAGAATGCTTATTGGCACCTCTCCTAGTGCTTGCGGCCAGCCTTGCAGCATAAGTAACCAAGCTGGACACAGGTGGAGGTTTTGCAGGCTCAGCGGCTGTGTAGTTTTCTTTAGCCTTGAGTTCAGCTGCTTCCCTTCGTTTCTTACAGCGGCGCCATGCTGCCTGTATGAAACATGCAGCCCATAATCTCCATTGGTGTGAATAGAACCGGAACTTGTGTCTAAGTTGCTTGCTGTGAAGTCTTCTGAATTGGGATGCTACAAATTTCAAGTCCTCGGCTACTAGAGCAAATGCTTCTACTTCAGAAATGGATTTGACAGAGCGCGTTGAAGATGGCAGGATGACACTTGGACGAGGGTCCAAGGCCCATGTCAGCAGTTCCTCCCCGCAGAAGTCACCCGGGCCAATATGGCATGAGTTGAAGAATCCAGTGCGGCCACCATTCGTGGTGTACGAATCAAGGTGGCCTCGAATTATGAAGAGCATTTCATTGACTGGGTCTCCTTCACGCACTAGGTATGTGCCTTCGGTACACAGGGCTGGTTTAAGCCTCTCACATATTGCATCTAGCATCCTTTCATCCATTTGATCAAACAAAGGAACCTGTCCATTTAGTGAAAAAAACAATGCACCAATTTAATAATAAGCATACCTTGCCGCAGGTTAGGAACATCAGAAGTAGTATCAAAGTTATCTAATTGCAGTAACAGATTATTAAGTCATCCTCTTTATCCTTTACTAATATTCCCTGGACTAGTTACTGAACCAACCAAAAGAATTAACTATTGAAACTACCGTTTACAATACAGTTGATGATAACTTACCCGACGAACAAGGTCAAGGCAAAGGTGACGCTTGATGTCTCTTCGAAGATCCATAGGTAGGCCTTTAAGAAGAGTTTCCTCATCAACTCCTCTAGTAGCCAACCATTTATATTGATCATACTTCCGCACAGAGATTCTCAATTCCGGTGGCAACTGCCTATGACTCATCCATTCTTCTGTATCAGTTCTCTTAATCCTCCACTCTTCTAGTCTGACAGTAGTCGATTGCAAGTATGTCTGCCATTGTAATGTGTGATCAGAATTTAGAATTATATACTTTGGAACAATTCCAACAGCACAATTGAGTTGTGTAGTAACAAACATGAGTTGGGTTTTCACTGCATAATTCTTCTGGATCTATGTTTTGGAAAGCAAAAATAATAATACAATAGTTGCAGGTAGAACTAGGATGATTGGTTGGCGTGCGAAACACAAAACAGGCCCCCACTTAGCTTGAACCTCATAAACTATGGCTTGAGGCAGAGCCTAGCTAAAACACATTTCCATATGGGAAATTTGTTCTTCAGGCTATCTAGTTGCTCATATTATAGATGCATGTAAAAGCCAATTTAAAGCATTGGGATGCTACTGATGGAGGACTTACTTGCATATTTCCAATCAGCAAAGCGAAGAGAACCAGCCCAAGAGTCGCAATAATTATGGCAAACATTATTTCTCCAACGTAAGTGCTTGTTGAAAGATTTTGTCCTAAGGAACTGCAGACAGTATTCAGGGAATGAGTATGGCAGAGGATTCTTCAATGGAAACGAGATAGATCAAAAGCCTTTTCTTTTCCTTCTCACAGAAAACATCAAATTAAATTACTTTTCATGCGCTAAACATTGTTAGCCCAAAAAGTAAAAAATACAGAAGAAAAAAAATGGAGAAGATTTCAAAAATGTTACAGAAGTAGTTCAAAATTCTACAAAGAAGAGAAGGAGGTAATCTTAAATTTTCATTCACAATGTGTAAATGCACATCATAAATGGATATTTGAAGAAACTAATTAGCTTACCTGAGATTTCGTAGACCCCACCAGAGGCAATAAAAGTATCTGTTGAAGAACGATGAGGTTGTAACATCGTATGTTACAGCATCGCCATACATACCAAACTGATAAGAGCTTTTATCTGGATTACATAGATTTGTGACATTACTTGACTGGAACCAGGAATTCCTTTTAGGGTCTCTACTCCGGTGACAATCAAAGTAATCATATTCGCAAAACGTCTCCTCAAGATCACACACACTTCTCCAGCATGCTTCTTGCCGCTCAATTGAAAGAAGGTACCAGCAAGCTCCTAAAACCTTTTCACAAGAAAAAATAAAAACTGAGCAAGGGGTTTACATTTGGTCTTACACACTTGATTGTTAAAAGGATACAAAAGATGTGAAAAAATAAGCCATCAAATGTATATCAGATAGTTAGAAGATGAACAGAACAGTTAATAGGAACTGAGGAATTTTGATTTTGGTCGTTATATGTCATGACAGATCATTGCTTCTTAAGGTTCTATTAACAAACTAAAACATTGATTGAAAAGACGGGTGCTCTTACGAAGGAAATGAATCTTCAAAGGAAGTTTTGCAGGTTTCTACTAAATAAATCTTAGACCGACAAAAGACTAAAATTCGTAGATTAATAAGAGTCAAAGAAATCCATAAATGAATTTCTGACAGCTGAAAATAACTTGTCTTTTGTTAGGTTCAGTCCATGCATTAGCTTCTAGCCCATTCTTAATCCAGCAAAGATTCACTGTCAATTACCCAACTTGGATGGATAGTCAATTTGCTATTAGTTATTGCCATCATTCACAAACAAAAAAAAAAAAAAAAAAAAAAAAAAAAAAAGTATACACACAATAGCCATGTTATTCATTGATTCAAGCTGTAGCTGCACAATTATCACAATTCTATTCAAAGTTTCCAAAAGAAAAAGAAACAGTTTGCTTGTACTTACATGACTTGCCAACATGTATAGCATCAGATTGTATGCAGCCCCTGCCCATGCTGTCTCTGTCACAACACCAGTGGCCTTGACTATTTGTGATGAGAGTGGAAATATAAGAAAGAGCCTTGGTATGTACTGAAAGATTATGATGAACCGAAGGACGTTTTTTGTGTTTGTCATTGTTGAACCCCCAAGTCTGGGGATTACGAACCAAATCAACACCTGAAAGGAAGAGGAAATGTAAGAACTAGGATTAGTGAATATTAGCTTTATCTCAATAGGCCCAGAGCAAGAAGATTCAAGTAGCATACCTGAGGAAGGGGCAGGGCAGCAATGAGGTCTATCCAGAAATCCAAGCGTAGGTACCTCAATGAGATCTTTGAAGGTTCTATTACAAGCTCTCCTCTCCCAAATACACGAGAGGAAGGTGCAATATAAGCTTTACGAAATCTAATAAAAATTTGAATTATATAAAATACATCAGCCACTGATCGAACAATTGTAAGAATGACTTCAAGTGGTTTTCCAATATCAATGCACAATTCATCTCTGACCGCTGGCAAGTAAAAGAATAGAGGGTCCACAAACAAAGAAACTAAACAAGTTACTAAGAAAATCTTGTTCCATCGTCGAATAGTATGTCCTCGAGGATCTAATATCTTCTTCTGCACTCTCTCATAGTCCTCAGAAAAGACTCTGGACAGTACTTTAGCTTTTAAGGACTTTCCAGTCCTCCCAGGCACCTCCTTCTCACAAGACTCTGGTACTTGTGAACCATCAATCTTGTACTTCAACTTAACAACACCACCTCCATTGGTTGTAGGTAGCTTTGCTAATTCAACATCATCCGGGAATCTGAAATACCATATGCGAAGGCAAAATTTAGATTCACCTTGTCATATCAAGCTCTATGATTAGACAACAAACTCTTAACATAAAGTACGGTTCGATATATTGAAATATAAACTATGACAGCAGAAATATTGTTTGAAATCAAAACAGAACTTAGAAAGGAGATATACCTTACAGATCTTGAATTATGATAACCCATGGCAATCTTCTAAAAACAACCACTTTGTCTTCAGTTAACAGAACTGGTCTGTAGTAAAATAACACCGAATAATCGAACATATATTAGGCCATGAATCAACTGTATGTAAACATCAAGGCTCTTCGAAATATAACTGACAATGACCGGGGATGAGTTCAAAGCCACAAGAGCTGAGAAGATCTTGCAGCCATGGTTTCATTCACCAGGATTCATGTGAACATGTGAAATAAATATGACAGCAACCTGGGGATGAAGCTGTAAAGTCTCTGCCCCTTCTAAGGCCCCAAAGTGCAAGTAAAACATGTGACCTGAACTGCATTCAGATTTTGAGCATGCAGCTTCAGGAAAAGAAAAAAAAAACTTTTATTTTATTACATAATTAAAATTAAATAAAGAAAGAAAGAAATTCCAAAAATCCCTATATAAAATTTTCTATGAAAGAATTGAATGTGTCAAAACTTTATGGCGCGTAGAATCTGAAAATCGTGACTCTTTCTCCCTTATTATGGATGGAACAATTGCCCAAATGTAACTGACCATTCACAGCATTAAGAAATTGGGCCTAGGCAAAGCATAAATAGAAGAATTGAACAAAAAGAATTAAAATAAACGTTACAGTTGAAAACTGAATGCCATATCAATTTTAAAATGAAGATTGAATAATTAAATGTAACAGATTCAGCATTCTGGCTCATGGGTTTTTTTTTTAAGCACAAGCAAGAGATTCCAACAATGAAAAAAAAAAAACAGGAGAGAGAGAAACTCACAAGCATTTCTCAGCCAAGCTTCACCAAACTCTGAACTCACTCTCTCTGGTTTCTCACTGATTTCAGCTCAAATCCCAAAGACTAAAACTGAAAAAGAAGAGTGAAAAAAATTTGTGGGCTAATGAAATAATAAGAAATGAGTTGAGATAGGAAAATCAGTTATATGGGTGAGAAAAGCAATGCTCTGTTTCAATACTTGAAGAGACCCTGCATTGTTCTTGTCGTCTAAAACATGGTACGAATTTGGAATTTTGAGAAAATGACTGAAGTATTAACCTATTTAAGGAAATAAATACTTATTTTAATTTTGATTGGCATATTCCAAAATATAAAAAATATGGTTAGTATTTATGTATATATCTATCTATCAAATTGCCATTGATACCAAGAAAGACAGAGCCACAAGAGCCTGTCCAAACTTGCAAAGAAGAGAGAGGTAGAGAAGGTTTACGAAAAAAGACAGGAAGATGTTATTTATTTGGAAGGGTCAGATGTTATTTATTTTACTTTATTTATTTAAAGATCCAAGGAGGAGTTGACTACGCTAGATATGCATGCCTTTGGAATCTTGACACGTGTTCTTTTTTTTGTTTAATAGCGCGAAGTAGGGATTGAGTAGAGTAAATTTTATCTCATTAAAGATTCCACAATGAGCTCCCTAAATCACCTCCTTAGACAAATTTTAGGGAGGAATCATAAAAATACAACTCCAACCTCTTAAAATAGGGAATCCTATAGGAGCTCCTAAATCTGACGAGAGAGAAATGACTCATAGTGACTCCCTATAATTTAATGCAGCTTTATTTAATGAGTATTTCAAACATTTATTTAATGCTAACTATTTTTTATTTTATTTTTTAATAGAGATGGACCAATAAAAAAAAAGTAATAGCATTTATGACTCTCCAAATTAGGGAGTATGGTTGGAGTTGAAATTTTTTAGAGGGCTCTTAAAATAGCTTTCTTATTTTTTTAGCTAAGAAATAGAGAGCATTATTGTGGATGCTCTTAGAAATGATAATCTAAACTACATAAGGGGAAAGGGGTTTTTCACATGCACTATCATGGTGTTATGGGGACTCGAACCTAAGGTCATTCGTCTGCTAGTCAATGCCTTTTTTTGGAGGACTGAATCTCGTTGACCTCATTAGACAATTTCATGTGTTATTAGATTATCAATTTGAATGAAATTATTTATTTACATAGAGGTATGGGATCTAAATATCAGTTAACAGTTCGTTCCAATCAGCTTTAAAATTTAAAAATTGATATGAAAACATTAAAATTAAAAGTTTATAAAGCTTGCACGTTTACAACAACAAAGAAGAAATGTGTAGCAAGGGCGAAACTAGTGTACTATTTGTCAAGAATCTTTTATTTTAAGCATGTTTGTATAGCTAAGTAGTGACGGACCAAGGAGTTTGCCCATATGAAGGCGTGGTGGATTGTGAGCTCAATTACTGAAATTATTTTTTACTATTCTATACAAGACAAAATGGGGACTGAGACTATTAAATAATTATTATGTTCGATCGAATTGGTTATATATAAATTTGACAATTTTTTTGAGAGAATTATGGAATTGCATTTATAATTTAGCAAACAAAATCACTAGTCACAAAGAGTTATTACAATAATGAAACGATCTAACTTCAAAATTAAGACTTAAAAAAATTACAATATAAATTTGACAATTAAAACTTAACAAAATTAAGGAAGTGGAGCATATGCGGTTAGCATAGGTCCGCCAATGCAACTAAAACTCAGTTGGTTATTAGATTAGTGGTATTCTTCTTTTGACCATATGATGCCTTAAATTCAAAGCATTCTTTCTCTTCCATAAATAAATAAACTCTCGATGACTAAAAATAGTTACTTAAAGACTTCACGGATGTCTCACCATAGTCTAGGAAAGAGAATTTATGGTTCAAATTTAGTGTCTAAATACATTGTAAGCTCATAATTATATCCAAGAATAACACCAAATTAATTTGCCATCTTTTTCATTCATAGTTGCATGAGTCTATCTTCTTCTCCCCAAAGCCAAGACCCACACGCGACACGCGGAGCATTATGCACGGCACCGAAATGCTTAAGAGAACGACCAACGAAAGTTTAACAGCTTCAACTTGGACGAAATCAAATGAAGAAGACGACCTTCCACTTCGTGAGTAAAAAAAGGAAGAAAAACAAGGCTTGGAATTGAACGGCCGTGTCCTGTGTGTCGTATTTATATGTGCCAAACACCTACCAAACTTGACTTTTGGGGTCGTATATATGTATATTATATGCCTTTCTTTCTTTCTGCTTCCTTGCTGGAATTAACCGTACGGCAGCTCCAGTCGTGGATCTCTTCAAAATGTGGTCGTAGGGTTTTGTGTGTCAAGTTCAACAAAGGAAAACTAGATTGACTCTCACGGTGTCTCACTCTTGATAAGGTTATGTTTGAGTGTTTCTAGGGCACAAGTACTTCACAAGCCTCTATCAAATTTCATTAACAATATATCGTTATATAATTAGGAGATTCACTATTATACCCAATATAGAGGAAAATTCAACAAACAAATTTGTCCTATAATGAAGAGTTGAATGCTAGTTAATAATTTTTAGATAAAGAGTTGAATGCTAGTTAATAATTTTTAGATAAATCAAGTGAGCTAATACGTCGAAAAGAAAAGAAAAAGAAAAAGTTACATGGAAAATTCAGTAGTATGTGGATAACAAATGTTTTAAGGTAAATTTAATATATCTAAGACATACCACATTTCATATCAAGCAAATTCAAGTGTTTTTGAACTTGTAATTAAATATCTGAATTTAGAACGTTTGAATTTACAGCTCATCTGATCATTTAATGATTGAGTCATTCGTGTCCTGTTAGTTTTATTCTCAAGTTTTTATTTCTCTCTCACATATGTACACTAGACACTAACAAAGCATTCTCATAAGTTTCATCATGGTTTTGTGTGATTAAGATATAATTAAGTTAATATCTATACCTTCCTAGGCAATTACGTACCAAATAATCTATATTTTCATTCTTTGAACTACATATTCAACTAAGAATTCACATAATCAATCGTATTCAGATAAACAATATGACAAGAATATAACATTTTCCTTCCACATTACATATCATTTGTATATATTTGACGGAAAAAAAAACCCCATCCATTATCCATATCATGTCTCCATTTCCCAGGATAGAAAACTTACAGTATCCATGCAGGCCATACAACTTGATGTGATGTGAAAATAGATTATTATAAAAGCTGAAAAAAAAATTTATTTAAAACCTGGCCTGCCTACAGCTTGACCACGTCTTGTTGTCCCTGGGAACTATTATACATGCTGCCGGTGGGACATATTCGTAAATTCAAACAACTCTATAGGCTAATTTAAAAAACAGAAAATATTTGTTTAATTATGGATGATCAGAATTACCTAATCAGAAAAATTAGGTTATCAATTCAAGTTCAAGACTAATCCGACAAGCCAGCCAGATCTCGACCCGTAGCACAGGCTGGCATGTAGTTAAGGCCTTGCGCCTTGCCACCCAACATGGAAATTAAGCATGCTTTTATTTTTAATTAATTGTTACTTTAATTTCATGTTGTATTTCTATAGATTTTATAGATGAACACTGAAAGTACAGTGCGTACGAATTTGTAAAAACAGTTTGTCCTATAATGAAGCAAGCTATGTCATCTTTAAGTTAATTATTTTGAGATAATTAATTCATGATTGGTTTGGTTTTTTGGGATGGATGAGAGTGAGATATTGTTTCATATATGTTTGGGAAGGGTGCTCGATAATAATGTATATAGCATTGAACATGCCAAATTTGCTAGTAAGAGGGGAAAATCACATGCAGCTATATGGAAGTGTTGTGAAAGTACCAAAAAAATGGTATTAGTTAACCCCGCGTTGAGGCATTTTATAAGTGGTTTCACTACTAATAACCTCAAATACGATAGCGAGCAGGGCATCTTAGTTGACTCCTGCTGGAAAGTCCATTTTAGTGGTATAGGGCGAATCAACCAATAACCATAATCATTCATGATATGTTGATGAGCCATGTATGCACTTAATTAGACAACAAGCGGGACTAATTAATTATATACATATATCTAATACAAAGTGTAGATACATTTGGCCAACTAATAATATAATCCAATGGCCCTACATGCTTTCACATCACCTAATAAGAATTGTTCACGCCTTAGGTGCAAAAAAGACTACATGTGAGGAGATATGTTAAGAGTATCCCACATCGGATGATGAAAAGTTAGTTTAAGTGTTTTAAAAGATATTAGACTTCTGCACTCATGATCAAGTGAGAACCAATTGATTTTGAATTGAGTGGTCACAACCAATTAATTTTGAATTGAGTGGTCACAACCAATTGATTTTGAATTGAGCGGTCACATTCTAATTAGAAAATGTACCGAATTCGAATCTCAAATTAAAAGACCTGTGTAGTGTAGCGCAAAAATGATGAACAGCCCCTTGTGCTAGTATTAAACAGTCATAACTGCTAACTACTCATTGGTTGTGGATCACGTCCTTGGTGTTGGAATTATTAATACAGATTGGCTAGCAACAGACTGGAACTCAACAGCAACAATAATAGGAGGCACCAAAAGGATTGAGAGGATGATCTCCACTGCACGTTTGCATGACCCACTGGAAATTAGTACATATATAATTAAAACACGCACGGTTTAACATTTGTCTTCTGCTGGCACAAAAGCATTTCAACCCAATAATATATTTAAACGTTTTAAATGGTGGCGTACGATTTGTACCAAATTATTGGATTATGAGAGAAGCCATGTTCATGCATGATTAAATCTCTCACACACGTTATATATTACAAGCACGAGGGCATAAGAGAATATGACCACATCCATTTACCTCACAATCGAACAATGCCTTCCAAAGTTGCTTCTTCCTCCTCTAGTAAGCACCCCCTTGCCAATTCTCAACCAATATCTTGGCATCAGATTGAAGGAGTACACCAGTTTCTCTTAGCTAGGTGTTGAGGATATGAGAATGAAACTTACAACAAAAGTAAAAGGATATGAGAAATTTGGAATCTATCAAAGGCCAACAATCTTCACTACTAGATTTACTAGATTGAGTTTGATTGGTTTGACGACTGAGGGATGAACTGTAGACTCAAACAGTAGTCAGTCAATTTTCCGTTGAGCCTACGGATCCTTGAATTAACCAATGCACGAATTGTGGGTCACATTGGTGTGCCTAGAGTTTTCCCTTGAGTTCAAGGTTACTTCAAGGCATAAGGTGCAGAGTAACTTCAAGGTTACTAGATTGAGTTATTTCCTCTCTTATACCAACTTCAAGGTTACTTGAGGGTGCAGAGTAAGAAGAGAGGAGTTATCATTGATATGAACACAAAAAAACTTCACCAGTAGATAATAACATTTCAGTACACAACAGTAATATGGGAGAAAGACAAAGGATGGCCAAAGAAGAGGATCCTATACGATGTCATTGTGCAGTTACAAAAGGAGGGGCCTAATCAAATCAGGAAGTGCTGCAATATGCGATGATGTACCATGGACTGCCAATCAAAGTTGGAAAAACAGCTAAATTTAAGACTAGATGAAGTAATATAAAAGAAAAATCTGGCCCCACACTAACAAAAAGCTCTCAGATAACTCAGGGTTAAATCTTTCTCCTATATAGTCAAAATTTGATTCATATGAGATAAAATAATGATAATACCTAATCAACATTACTATCCTCTTCTTCCAAAGCAGAATCAAGTCCTTTCAAGCATGACTTCATGATCTGTGAAAACTTTGAACAGGCATCCGTACAAATCTTCATTCCCTGCTGGCAAAAACTATGTTAGTGTCATAAGCCCCATCTATCTTTGTCAAACCGTATAAGAAACATGCCACCAATAGATAGTGAAAGGACCTTCCTATGGAGTTTAACAAAGAGTTGTATGAAAAAATCCTTGGTCTACAAAACCAATTTTGACAAGTATATCCACCCAGTTGACTTCAAATTAAAAGGTTTTATCAACTAGAAGGATCATCTTTGCATCAAACCCGCATAAATGTGAATGCAAGAACAACCAACCAAACTAGAACTCAAAGATGACCTTGGATGCACACTTAATGCTACTTGTTTAGGTTATCCCTTGCAAAAATAATGGTTAGGAAGTAGATAAAATTCTTTTAAAAAACAACAAATGATAGAACAAAGTATAAATCATGAGCGCATACCTCATTAATTTTTGGGGTAGACCATTCCCCAGTAATGGTTAGTTGAGTGACCTCGTCGCGAGAAGGCATACAAGTAAGTATTAAGCTTCCATCTTGGTGGCTTTCCTCCTCCAAAGTAGGATCAAGGACAAGGTTCTTTCCCAAACAAGACTAGGCACCACAAACAGAAAAACCATAAGTGAACAAAATAATAAAAAATGAAAAGAAACAACTTGATACATTTACACAACAGACCAATTGGATATTTAAGGAAAAGTGCTGTATGAATTAATCCTAAGATTTCTTCTCCAAAATAAAAGCTTACAGTATATGGGGGAATAAAAATAAAGGGGAGACAACTTGGCAGTAATCTTGTTATTTAGTCAACTAGGAAAAAGAAAGTATGATGATCAACAATCATTTGTGTTATCTATGGTGTAATGTCCTCAAGTTTTCAAAGTCTCAATTCTCTGCATAGTTTTTACCGGGCTATTCACGCTCAGGCATCATGTTTGCATGACACAATGACACACGAATTTGAAAAAGGGGTATAAAGGAAACCTTGAAATAAGGTAAGAGATATAATAACCAAAATCTTTGTTTTATGCTTGACTACCAAGAGAGAGTTAAAAAGGGCACGTCTAATCCAGATGTATACCACTGAAACTGACGTAACAAGGTCATACATCATTATCCCTGCATCTGCTAGGGCAAGGCTAGCACATGATATCACTACAGGAAGATCACCTGCAACCAAAATGGAAGGGCTTATCAACATGCACAAAAGCAGTATTACTGCCTCACATTCAGTTCAATATATTAGGATTTATAATGCACAAATAAAGAAAAAAAATTAAAGGCACAAATGCACCAATAATACAACATTGAAATCATCCTCATATCTCCCTTCTATTCCAAAAATAACTTCTCTGTTTACTATAATTGGTTAGATCAAGTACAGTTCTCTTTTTATATAATTACATCATCACACTCTTTCTAACCCAAAGAAAGTTACGTAACTCATTGTGTCGATTACATGTCAGCTAGGGATGGTCCAACATTCAAATTTTCCCCCAAGAACAAATCTACGGTGCACAAAACTTGAGTCCAAGGAATACCAAGACTGTCTCAGTGGACATCATGAGTAATAGAAAAATGCAGCATCTTTGAATTTAAGTGTCTTGTTAGTGGCCAGATTCTTGTACACAGGAGAAAATCTAAGTGAAAAGTAGTTAACACAATCACTGAAAGCAGCACCACTTGAACAAAGACATACACTTTGACATAGCAGGTGAATAATGTATTTTTTTCAATTGGAATTCCCTACTCTGTCAAAAAAAAATTTAAAACTTTTCTTCATTCTATTTCCGCCCCTCCACAAACATAGACACAATCAATTAATCAATAGCATAATTGCACAAATACTTCTACAACATCAAAATCATCCTTATATCTCCCTTCTACTCCCAAAAGGACTTCTCTATTACTACAATTGCTCATGATCAATTATACATCTTTTTCTATATAACTACATTATCACACTCATCTCAACACAAAGAAAGTTATGTGACTAATTAAGTGTCAATTACATATCAGCATGTGAGCTAAGTGACAGGTAATTGTCCAACAATTAAATTTTCCCCAAAGAACAAAGCCAAACATGGGTCCAAGAAATACCCCAAAAAGGTGCCTGTGTGAACACCGTGAGTCATGGACAAATGCAGTACCTTTGTATTAATGTGTCTTGTTAGTAGATAGATTCTTGTATGTTATAGAAATCTAAATGAAAAGCGGTACACATTCACTGGAAGCAGCAACATTTGAACACAAACATATACAATGACATTGAAGGAGTGTAATCTTAATCGTTCTAATTTAAATTGTCTCTTCTGTATTTCTAGTCTTTCCTTTTCTTCATTCTATTTCCTTCTTGACCTAAACTAGCAATACCAGAAAGAACAGAAGTTTACATGTTAAAACTAATTGAATACTTACTGCCCCCAGATTCCAACACCAATGCAAAAACATCCACAGTAGTCTTGGGGAAAGTTTCCAATATTATTGCACCCTCCAAAGCTTTATGAAGCATTGAAGAAAACTCTTTGTGGTCCGAACCCTAAAAGAGGGGAGTTCAAATATTAGTTACAAGGATTTCAATAAGAAACGTGATTAAAAAGAAGGATAGGAGGTACATTAGCACAAGGTCATATACCTGTCCGCGAACTGGGGTAGCAAAAGTTGTATAGCTGACAGTGCAATTTAAACGTCCTATATCACTGTACATCATTGCCTTCTTACTCTCTCTTGGCCCAAATCTAAACCAAACAAGACAAATAAAATGTAAAGCATGTGTTGTTGCATATATCTTTGCATCCAAAATTATAGGGTATTACTTGAATCAATATATAACACCAAAAAAGAGTGCAAACAGTGAAAAAGAAACTCTATCAATAATAACAAGAATGGTCGCCATGGTCATGGATTTCTGATAGACATTCCCTTAGAAGAACTAGAAGTCAGAGAGAGTACGAATTTCAAAAGGATACACTCACACAGAAACAATGACCTTGGTGCTTCCAAAATCTGCATAAGCAGATCCGGCAGCAGCAGCTACAACACCAATCTGGTAAACTGGCATTAACAAAACCTTGAGTTTTTCTTTATGAAAGCCATAATGTAATCATACAATGGCATTACAGCCAGTAAAAAATTATAAATCAAAGCTAGGATCTCTACAATCCCGTTGACATGTATAAGGCAGCATGAACAAGGTCCAAAACCACATTTCTGTAAAGAGCTCATATCCTAGAATTCAATTTAAGTTTTGGACAACATATAGGCATGCATTGGAAATCAAAAGGCCATGCTACAAAAGAAGGTTGTTCAACATCATTTTTAGCGTATTGAAAGCACAATTTCTAACTCCAAACACGCATTACTATTTCTCTTTCTCCCCTAATCCACATGATTCAAGTAGACTATACATAAGCTTGTAATAGGTTTACCCAAGAACATCAAAATCACATAACATAAACCATTAACTCATAAAAAAAATGGCATGGCTTGGCTTTGTGGGTAGGCAACATACATCCATATATGTGCCTTAAATGAGAACAAGTACAATTTATTACAGAACAAAAACACGTTCATGAAAACTCAACAACACCAAGCAGTATATTGCAGGAGTCCAAACTAAAACGCATTCGACGCTTGTGTTTGTGACTGATTCAGTAACGAGACCAAAAGCAAATGCAGCACAGCACAGTTCTTTGCATCCAAAACAATACTCAACAATGAAAACATTGAAACCCACTTGACACATTGGAATATAAGACCAGAAACAACAGGAAAAATCTCACTTGAGCTGGTTAACCAATTGAGTAAGTTGACATGCAAAAGCAACAGAAACCACATTCCGTACATCATCAAAATACAACCAACCCACAGAAAAAAAAACGAAAGAATTGAACCCCAAAAAGAAGAACAAGAGTAAAGGAAGGAAATTTATATTAAGATTAAGAGGAAGGAAAAAAAAAAAAAAAAAAAAAAAAAAAAAAAAAAAAAAGGCAGGTACTGGCATCTGGTGCCATTCACGGTCATCGGGTCGGAGAACTTCGTCGTTTCCAAAGCTTAGTGATTTAGTCTTCTGGGTCGTCGGAGACGGCGAGTACGTGCTCGGAGTTGCTCCACCTCTCCCGGCCATTGGCGGCGACAATCAAAATTCCCTCTCTTTTGTCTGTGTGCCTCTGCTCGCTGCTTCAAGATTTTCCGGGATCTTGTCCTTCTCGCTCTAGACGGTGAGTTTTAGGCCGGACTAAGAATCTTGCACTTTCGCGTATATGGCCCATTGTGTATTTTTATTGTGGGTTTTTAGTGAAGGCCCATTAGACGACGTGAATGCACCCAAGCTTGTTCTATGGACACCCATGCACTCAATTTTTTACCATTTGCTTGTCTTTTTTTATATTTTATTTATTTATATAAAAATGATATTCTACTTTTATTTAATCTAAACTATGGAGAGGGAAATTCGAACTCTAGTGCAAAGTGAGGAGCACATCCGCTCTAGTCAACTTTAAGCCCATATCCACTTGATTGTCTATTTTTTGTCTTTATAGTTTGATCCAAATTAATTTAAGCAAATACTCTCCTGACTGCATGGTTTTGCATGGCATGCAGGTTTTCTTTTATTTTTCATTATTTGTATAGGGCCATTCAATTCATTTTAAGGTGTTACAAAACATGTGTATAATAATTAAAGTTATGGGTAAAAAATTAAGTAAATGTTTTCAAATAGCATGATATATTGTAACAATGTATACAAATAAGACTTACCACCTTAGCAAACCAAGAAAATATTGATACTTTATTGATTTCAAGATTATCTGGGACTATTTCATAATGATAAAATGGGCAATATCGACACCATCGACAACATATCAAGATGATCACAGCAAATGTCAAACTTCTAACAAAACTATAATTAGTAGATTATTATCACATCAAAATTGATCCTCAATCTTTATGGTTGTCTAAAATTTTGTTTTCGGGAACCAGTGCTGGAAATACCAACGAATTTCATCTTTGTGGGTTTTCAAACCTAGTTTCAGTTTTTGAATAAATTTCTTGTGTCCTCTTTTCTGATTAGAATTTTGTGATAATTTTCAAACGCACGAATAGTTTATGTAGAAAATGTTTTTATTGTGCACATCGCCTCATCCAAATTTAGTTTGTTTTCTTTATATATGATGTGACCTATAAATCAGTAGAATTTTAGTATTAAAAAATGATTTCACTATTGTATAACCTTATAATCTGAAAATTGGTGATTAACAATAACAAACTATTTCTCTAAGAACATTATAGCACATCAAACTAATGGGAACTCAATCTTGATATTGGAGAAGACGATAATTGAGAAGAAAAATAATCAAATGTTAAAGTCTTTATCATGTACAATTAGACAAAACTTTTATCCTATTCTTCTAAGGTAGAATCAGGTCCTTTCAAGCACGCCCTCATGACCACTGCAAGTTTTGAGCAGGCATCCAAGCATATTTGCATTCCCTGCTCGTAAAAACTATGTTACTATCACAAGCCTCATCCGAACCATATCAAAAGCAGAGTTATTGTGGAATGCTACTTTTTTTCTTTTGGCATTCTCGTACGTAGACATTATAGTCAAAAGGTAGATAACATTCTTTGATGAACAACATACAATATTTCAAGGAAAAAATCGGCTGACTGTCATACCTCATTAATTTTTGGGGTTGACCATTCCCCAGTAATAGTTAGCTGAGTGACCTCGTAGCGAGAAGGCATACAAGTAAGCATTAGGCTTCCATCTTGATAGCTTTCCTCCTCCAAAATAGGATCAATGACAAGGTTCTTTCCGAGACCAGACTAGACACGACCACAAATGGGATAAGTGAATGAAAAAATTGACAATGAAATGAAACAACTTTGACATGGAAGTCACTACGGCACACAAATTTGTTTGTAAATCTAAAGAAGACAAACCTATAGAACTTCCACAAATTTGTGCTAAATGATAGCTGATAGTAGAATGTACAACTAACTGCCCCTATGCTATAAACATTTAAATGGAAACTATCTTTCTTACAAGCGATGAGTTTAAAGAGAGAGTTTACCAGACTTTAAACTATGCAGTACCGAAAAGAAGAAAGATGTTCCAAGAAACCATGAAATAAATGTTAATATGGTTATGGTATTTAATTTACAACAATTAATAAGTTAAATATTTGATAAAATGGCAGATCTACATACATTCACGTGGGTGTGTGCATGCACACACAATACTTATCAATTGGATATTTAAGGAGAAAGTGCAGTATGAATTAATCATCAGATTTCTTCTCCAAAATAAAAGCTTACAGTACTATGTGAGAATAAAAAACAAAATGGAGACAACTGATCAGTAAACTTGACATTTAGTCGACTACCCAAAAGAACGGAACAAATACAATATGATGATCAACAATCAGATTTTGCGTTATGTACAGCATCATGTGATCAAGTTTTCGAAGTCTCAATTCTCTGCCTATTCTGAACTGGGCCTTTCGCACACAAACATCACGTTTGCATGACAAGTTTTTATTTTATTTTATTTTTTAAAAGGTAAAGGAAAACTTGAAACAAGGTAAGAGATAGAATAACCAAAATTCTTGCTTTAAGCTTGATTATCAAGAGAGTTGAAAAGTTGAAGCATACCACAGAAACTGAGGTAACAAGGTCATACATCATTATCCCTGCATCTGCTAGGGCAAGGCTAGCACATGATATCACTACAGGAAGATCACCTGCAACAAAAATGAAAAAACTCATCAACATGCACAAAAGCATTATTATTGTCTTGCATTCACTTAAATATATCAGGAATTATATGGCACAAATAAAAATAATAATCGAAGGCACAAATGCACCAAATAAGACTATAACATTAAAATCAATCCTTATATCTCCCTTCTATTCCAAAAGTGATTTATCTGTTTACTATAATTGGTTATGATCAAGTTTACTGCTTGCAGTATCACACTCTTTCTCACACAAAGAAAGTTCTGTAACTCATTGTGTCCATTACATGTCAGCTAAGTAAGAGATAATTATCTCTCACCGAAACCAACATTAAAATTTTACCCTAAGAACAAATCCGTAGTGTGCCAACTTGAGTCCAAGGAAGTCACGGACAAACACAGCACCTTTGTGTTTAAGTTTATTGTTAGTGGCAAAATTCTTGTACAAGATTTGGTAACATGATCACTGGAAGCAGCAGCACCGAACAAAAGCATCCACATTCAAATAGCAGGAAAATAATCTATTTGTTCCAATTTAAATTCCCTTCTCTGTCATTTCTGGTCTTTCCTTTTCTTCATTCTATTTCCTTCTTGCAACAGCTGAAAAGAAAGAAATTTGCATTTTAAAACTAATTGAAAACTTACTGCCCCCAGATTCCAACACCAATGCAAAAACATCCACTGTAGTCTTTGGAAAAGTTTCCAATATTATTGCACCCTCCAAAGCTTTATGAAGCATTGAAGAAAACTCTTTGTGGTCTGACCCCTAAAAAAGGGGAGTTCAAATATTAATTACAATGATTTCAATAAGAAAAGTGGTACAGAAGATACATCAAGACAAGGTCATATACCTGTCCACGAACTGGAGTAGCAAAAGTTGTATAGCTGACATTGCAATTTAAACGTCCTATATCACTGTACATCATTGCCTTCTTACTCTCTCTTGGCCCAAATCTAAACCAATCGAGAAAAATAAAATGTAAAACATGCTCCGTTGCATATATCTTTGGATCCAAATTTATATGGTAATAGCTTACCTGAATCAATATATAACTAAAATAAAAATAATTAAAAATAGTGAAAAAGCAACTCTATCAATAATACCAATAATGTTTGACATGATCATGGATTTTCATGATAGACATTCAGTTAGAAGAACACTAGTGAGAGGGAGTATGAACATCTAAAAGATTTACTCACACAGAAACAATGACTTTGGTATTTCCAAACTCTGCATAAGCAGATCCTGCAGCAGCATTTACAGCACCAGTCTTGAAAACTGTCATTAACCCAAAACTTTTGAGTATATTTTATGAAAGTCATGATGTAACCATACAATGAAATTACAATAAAGAGAATTTATAAATGAAAACAAGGATCTGTACAAGCCCCTGGAATTTTCTATAAGCATTAATTTTTTAACACCTACCAGCTTAAACGTTTAGACAGACCATCTCTAGGTCAGAATGGATAAGGCAGAATGAACAAGGTCAAAAACTGACATTCTGTATATAGTTCTTAAGAGTAGAGAGATTATTGGAATTCAATTCAGGATTTGAACAACATATAGACATGCATAACATAAACCAAACCAAGCAGAATACACATAACATAAACCAAGACCTCACAAAAATGGCATGTCATTGGGCGCAAGGAAGCATACATTCACAGATGTGCTTTAAATGAGTACAAGTAAATTTGATTATAGAACGAAATTGTTTTTTGAGCCCCATATATTCATTAACGGAAATGGATATTCCAACCATACCAACCAATATAACAGAGTAATGAAAGCCAAACAACATCAAGCGTTTTATAGTAATTTGTAAGAAATTAAGCTTTATACGGTTGATGAAGTTTAAATCAAACTAAAACACATTCATGCATTCACTGAAGAGACCAAAAGCAATTGCATCAAAGCACAGTTCTTTGCACCCAACAATGAATATATTGAAAGCCCACTTGCCACATTACAGTATAAGACGAGAAACAAGAGCAAAAATCTCACTTGAGCTGATTAACCAATTGAATTACTCCATTTTTGACATACATAAGCAATAGAAACCACATTCTGCATAACATCAAATTAAAACCAACCCACAAAAAAAACACACACACACACAATGAAAAACAAGGGTAAAGATATGAAATTTGTATTAGCTGAACAGAAGAAAAAACTTACAGGCAGGTCTGCATTGGTGGAATTCACGGCCATCGGATCGAACCCAATCGACGTCGTCGTTTCCGAAGATGCGTGATTTGGTTTTCTGGGTCGTCGGAGACGGAGAGTACGTGCTCGGAGCTGCTCCACCTTTTCCGGCCATGGCGGCGACTATCGAAAGTCCCTCTTCTTCTTCTCTGTGTGTGTGCTGGCTGGCTGCTGCTTCGAGCTTTTCCGTGTCCTTCCTTGTCCTTGCCCCTCCTATACGGTGCGTTTCGGATACTTGTGGTCTCGTGATAAATGGATCGGACCTAGAGAAGCTTTGCCACGTGTTTGTTTTATTTTGGGCTTTTATGGAAGGCCCATTGGACTATATAATTTAAAAGCTCGTCATCAATTTTTAAATAAAATTTTCAATTATATTCATAATTACACTTGTATATCAAATTTAAAAAAAAAAGAAAAAGAAATAAGTAACACTAAATATAAATAAATAAATTCACCCATATTTTTTTCCCATTAATTTTTTCCCTTATTTTTTCTCCCACTAATAATTGCCTCCACATGATGCATGTGTAGAATTAGTAGTTTGCTTTTTAAGGATTATATATGCACCCAAGCTTGTCATTGGGACACCAAGGAATTCTATATGCAAATCCTTTTATTAAAAAAAAAATTAATCTGAATTTTTTGTACAGGGCCATACATCCATCTTTAGCCGTTAGATTTCATTGTATTCAATCACATTAATGTCCTACTTAATTAACTTACAACCAACTTCATGAGAACTCTTCGTGAGTTTTAGGGGGGTGTATCCAATTCAAACTTTTAATGACTTTTATAGAGTTTAAAAGTCTGGAGATATTCAATTTAGACTTTTAAAGAGTATATAAAAGTCCAGTGGTATTCAATTGTGACTTTTAAAAAGTATTTAAAAGTTTGGTAGTATTCAGTTATGACTTTTAAAAAGTATTTAAAAGTTTGGTGGTATCCAAAAAGTTAATGACTTTTAAAAAGCTTATTAAATGAATGACTTTTCCATACTTTTAAGGCTAATTGTTAATAACAAAAGTCATGCTAATTTACTAGTGACTTTTATCAACTCTATGAAAGTATTTAAGAATTTGTCATCTCTATGAAAGTCATTCACTTAAAAAAAATCTTTATAAGTATGAATTGGATACACCCCCCTTAGTATTTGAACAAATTTCCTGTGACTTTTTTTGGGGTTAGAAGTTTATGATATCTTTCGAACTCATGAATACCTTGTGTAGGAAATATTTTATAATGGATATCTGGATATCTGTTTTCTTATGGAGGTTTGTGTACATTTGTTGTGACCTATATATAGTATACATCAATAAAAACTTAGTATTAACAAATAATTCCACTATTGTCCAAATACTTTATGGCATATCAGAGCAACGTGGCTCAATCGAGATATTGGAGTAAACTATATTTTTGGGAAAGCATTGATCTCAAATTGAAATTGAGGTATACAAAATAACATCAGCCCCACCATGGCCAATCAAACTTCAATAGCCCCAACTATATAGGGAATGCAATATGGTGGCGGATAACTTGGCGAGGCTCAAAAGTCCAAACGGCAGCAAAATGCAAAGCAACAAAACAAAACCAAGACTACGAAAAAAACTGCCAAGGACCACCTCAGGACCGAGCAGACATAGGCGGAGGGCAAAGCAAACCATCGCGAGACAAAATGAAGACCAGGGCGATTGGAGGTCTATTTACCCATGCCTCAACGCACAACCCCTTTTTAACCTGCGAAGCTACCCAACCAGCACCAAACAAAATCAAAATCAAAAGGAAAAAAAATTTCCTTCGCTGTTTTCCTGGATAAAAGAGGAATTATGTTTCAAGACCTAGATATTGGGATTGTTCTGTAAGGTCTACTGACTTATGAGTTATGGTTATTTTCATGAATTAATGGATATGGAAAGATATATATTTTTTATTTTGATATAGGAAAGAAAAGGGATTGTGATTACAGAATTTTGGAGAAACGAAAGCTTGGTGAGAGATAAGATTTTGGGGGCAGAGGCAGGAAGAAGAGGTGCTAAGGGGGAGCTGATGTTAAGTTTGATGTTAGTTGGGTTAGGGTAGGGGTGGGCACGGTCCGGATTGTATTGGTTTCACCTTAAAACTACGGTTGAACCAATTATAATATGACGGTTTTGTTTGGTTTTGTTTGAATAAAAGTTATAAAGGAAATCGAACCAAACCAAACCAATTTAAGACGGTTTGGTTCGGCCAGTTTGGGCCTAAGCCCAATTCTCTTTCTTTTTGTATTTTTTTAACATTGTTAGCCCAATTATAACCAACAAATTCACAACTTGCTTCATACATAAATCATTTTCTAGAGTATGAAACCATCCTAAAGCTCAAAATGTCATAAAACTTCATATTTCACTAACTAATATAACTCAATTCAAATATTAATATATAGTTATTAAATAATTAGAGTATTACACATGTAAAATAAAATATAAATAAATAAATATATACATAAACGGTCCGGTTTGGTTTAAGCCGGTTTACAAAAGCTCAAAACCAAACCAAACCAAACCAAACCAAACCGATAATTATGGTTTGGTTTGGGCAGATTGATGCCCACCCCTAGGTTAGGGTATTGTTTTTCTTTTTTGTTTGAAGAATGATGTGTTAATTTTTAAGTCTCTTAAATTAAATGTTAATGAGGTGGCCTATGGAAGATAAAAGTCAAGTAGATCATAGCAAAGAAAATCAAAGTAGAGAATCCGAATCCCTGATTTTTTGTGTTCCTTTGGCTTTCAGCCAAGCATGGGAGGAACTACATACAATACAAGGCTACACTAGGCTGTAGTCTAAGCAGCTTTTTGAAGAACTTTTTTTTAGCCTATTGTAGCCAATGTAGGTTTTTGAAGAAAAACATAATTAAACCTATATAGCCCACCAACTTGCCATTTCTACTTGTGGTTGGGGCCCTCGTTTTATGGTCTTTTTGGTAGTTGCCCCACTATTTCTATGAAGACATATTTTCAGACAAAAAAATTAATAAATAAACTCAATAATAGAGAAATATTATTTTTCTAAAGTATGTTTTGTGGTTTTCCCCATTATTCTTGTGTTAACCCTTTTGTTGCTTTTAATTTGTATTATTTTTACGCTAAATTTATTGAAAATTAGTTCATAGGGCTATGAACTAGCATGGTTTACATAATTTAATATATACTTTTATTTCTAGAAAAAATATCATTAAATTTTTAGCTAAAATTTTTAGTTAGCCCACCCATTGAAAAATTTATGGTTCTGGCCTTGTAGCCAAGAGAATTGCAAATAAATTTCCTATCAGCCATGACACACGTTTCATTTTTCATACACCATTTGGCTGTGTTTTTCTGCTCATAGTTTGCTTTTCTAATTTTTGGTGTTCTTCTGGCTTTCAGCCAAGACAATAGGGCTGATTTTTTATTTATTTATTTTCTTTTTTTGGTTTTTCTGGCTTTTAGCCAAGACTATTGGAAACAAATTTCCTATCTGTCATAACACATTTCATTTTTTATACACCAAATTAAGTCTCTTTCTGGAAATGTGACGGTGTTTCCATTTTCTGGGGAAAAAAAGAAAACATCCATTCTCCTTTTTCCAAAAGATAAAAATGAAAAATAGTGGAAAAAGACATCTAAAGAAGCATAATCGTTGGCACTAGTTGAGCAGGAACAATGATACAATTTACAACGTTACAAACTGCAGGAGTGACATAGAAAATACAGAGATATTCAAGAACACCTATAAATGTGCTAACATAGAAGACCATTTAGCCAAATTGGAATATCGATATCAAATAAATACTAGACTCTACCTCCCACACAAAACGACCACACAAAGTGGGCTTAATAGGAAGAAAAAAATGCAGCACTAGGGTGGAGGAGGACCAGGCTCAAAGAGTGGAGGGCAGCAGCATCTACATAGACCGCAGCAGCACAGCATCCACAAACTGCAGAATGAGAACCAAATTAAAATTGAAAATTCAAGAAAAAAAGAAGAAGATATGATTGTCAAAGCTCAGCTTCCAGAAAATTGAAGTGAAAAAGTCTTACAATAATTCTAAGCATCCTCCTTGATCATAGGGAGGAGGAGCCGGGGCCGGGGCTGGGGGAAGCAGCGGCGCGTTAGGCGGTGGTGGCGGATCCATCTCTGGCAGGTGATTGGCAGGTGAGGGGACAAGTCTAAAGAAAAGTGTATATTTATATATATATATCTGTGATCCAACACAGCAAGCTATCCCCAAGTCATACACAGCCCCCAACAACCATTCAAAGGAACTTCCAAGGCTTTGTATGATGTTGCCCAACTAACAACACATGGAAGTTTAAGTGTGCTCTGGACAAACTACTGGTTGCTAATGGATGAACTTACCAAAACTACCGACATTTTTTTGGACATGCATGATGAATCAGTCAAGTTTCAGTGGATCTTGTACCACAGATCGACAGAATATTCCTATGCAATTAGGATTAGACCGTCCAGTCTAGGCTAAAAACTTTAAGGAAATTGGCACAATTTTTTGCATTCAATTAGTTGTAAAAATATATCGAGACGCCCACGCACTTGAGTGACTTTCAGCCATTAATGGAGTGGGACATACTTGCATCAATGGTTGGCAATACAAGTAAAGTGCTTGCTACTTTCGGCCATTAATGGAGTGCGACATACTTGCATCAATGGTTGGCAATACAAGTAAAGTGCTTGCTAGTCTTTTCCTCTTCGCATTTCCCTTTAAATTTGGGACTAGGAAGTAAAGTTTCAATCTTATTGAGACATATTAGAGATTTGTGCTACAAGTATCTTTAGAGTGTTCAAATGATAAATCATTTTCCATACATAATCTGTCACAAGAGTTCCTTCACTCATTTTAGTTTTCAGTGTTTCTCTCAGATCTAATTGCTCAGTATGTTTGACCAGACTGCTATAATTATGGGCATAGAAAAATGTTCTAGTGACCATGTGAGAGCAATTATGGGTTTGACCTTGTTGATGTGAGAAAAAAGAATGATTAAATTGTGACCAGAGCTGACTGTTATGCCAAGCATTCCATGTTTTTCTTCTCTAACTTGCTGATTATATAAATGTAAATTGAACCAAGGTACTTCCAAAACTATACTTTTGCATGACTGGAATTACAAGCAGCATATCATCCGTTTCATCTTCTAACATAATGTTCTATGATTTATGTTCTGTACAACAACCAAAGAACATACATGAATACAACAAACTAATTTGTATGATCAGAGAATAGCCTATGATTTTTCTTCCCTTACTGAAGAAGTAAGCTGGTACCATATTCGTGTTACCAACGCTAGATTCACTCAAGTTGCGTATTTTTGTTTTTTGTCATACAGGCTTGGCATTTGCTAGGCAAAATGACTCGAACCTGGGTTCCGTTAAGTCCACTGTCTCATCATCAGAGGCCCGCCAACTCCTAGCGTTTGAAGTCAAGAGGATCAATCTCTCCATATAGTTATCTGAAACAGTGTCTGTACGTCTTTCGGCGCAAAGATTACGGTCAATATCTAGTGGCAGTGAACACCGAACTGAACCTTTACTGGATCTGGCTCGCCTTAGTTCCTCAGCATCTTTATGACCATCCGTGCCCATGTGCTGTCCAGAATGAGTACTCAGATCAGGTCTTTATTTTTATTGTTTAAAATTGTACATTATGAGGAGATGACCTCCAGAGGACACATGAAAAGTTAAAAAGTTGACTGTTTGCTGATCAAGTAAATGCACTTTTTTAATTTATCAAAATTTAGATTTAATGTAATTACAAGTAAAAGAACCGTTAAAGGAGAAAATTAGTTTTACCTTCCTATGGTTTTTACAATACTACAGCAGAAAATGGATGACTTATCAACCAGAGAGACGTGTAAAATCTCAGAGTACTACGTACTACAAATTAGGACATGATTGATGAAAAATAATTACCTGAAAAAGATTCACAGGAAAGTTTCTCCTTTTAGATCTCTCTGGGACGATAGTTGACAGGATTTGGACGACCTCACTCATGTTTGGTCTAGCATCAGGATCCAACAGTAGGCATTCTTTTGCTAAGAAAGCCATTATCTGCATCTCTTCTTCTGGGAAGTTTCCAGCCAGATCTGGATCGGCCAACTCTGTGATTACTCGCCTACTATCCAGTAAACGAGGTGTAGCCTAAAACAAAGATAAAAATGCTACATCAATTTTTATATTTTTATTACCCCATTGAGTTTTTCTTGAACTGATTCATGTTAATATTTCAGATGAAGTTTACATTATTTATATTAGTTATTCAAATCTACAGGGCACCATATGTACTTTTTTCCTAGGGCCTCAAGTTGTAGGGGGCCACCCTTGAAACTTAGCAAACATGCAAAGTGCATTTGGGAAATTTAGCCTTTTGGTAATAAAAGGAAAACTTCTGTGCAACAACATGCATGATGGTAAAAGGTTCCATACCCATATGACAAGGCTTTCTTCTCCCTTGCTGCTTGATTTGTGAATGGGCTTCCGACCAGTGATAAGCTCAAGAAGAACTACACCAAAACTGAAAACATCTGACTTAAGAGAAGCTCTTCCAACAATCGCATACTCTGGTGCAAAATAACCAAAAGTCCCCTGCATTCTTGCTGGAGAACTAGAAGCGCTAGGGAGACCATCGGCTTTCAAGCGTTTTGCCATACCAAGATCAGTTATCTGCACAGTACAAATAAAAGTACTTCAAAATATAAGAGATGTGTGCCAAATATGCACTACAAAATTAGACTTATCTTTTGAGTTCCTAACAGCAAATTAAACTGTGTTTGTAGCTAAATCCATTGCCAGTATATATTTCTTCCTCTTCTTTCTTCATAGAATTGAGGATTTCAATGGAAGTCTCAAATAACCAAATCTTACTTTTGCTTGCCAATTTTCATCCAGAAGAATGTTTGTGGATTTGACATCTCTATGTAGAATTCTTGGAGCAGCTGCTTCATGGAGATATTCCAAACCCCTTGCAGCTCCAATGGCAATTGCAACCCGAGTACCCCAATCCATGTTTTTTCCTACATCTCCATCCAAACAATCTCTCAGGTTACCATTATTCATGTATTCAAATACCAATAGTCTCTCAGCATTTTTTCCATGGGTTTCAAAGCAGTAGCCAAGCAAAGGCACCACATGATAATGATGAAGTCTGGATAACATTTCAATCTGAGGAAAAGAACAGATTAGTAAACTTATTTCTTCTATTAAGAAACCAACAGGATCTTGATATATTTCGGCAAACTCACTGCAGGATGAGATATTACCTCTGTTATAAAGACAGAGTCCGAATCAGGCCCTTGCTGAGCTTTTAGACGCTTAACTGCCACGATTCTGCCACCTTTGAGCTGACCACGATAGACATAGCTACTTCCACCAAGTCCTATTAGATTGGAATTTGAAAACTTATCGGTAGCACTTTCCAGTTCAAAGTACGAAAATTGAATAATTGCTCCAGGTGTAGCTCGTATTTTGCTCTTAAATAAGCAAGAGGTAAAGCACCCTGTGAATGGAAACAGAATAGTTATAGTAATTCCTGTGCCAAAGCTCAATATGGAGAAAACTAAAAGCACATGTTGGGAGAAACACAAAGAAAAATATACAAATAAAAATCAGATCAGGTTTAAAGGTATGAATTAAGAAATGAACAGGTATATTGTTCTTTTCTTTTGGTCGAAAGATGAACAGACATATAAAGATTAAGAAAACACGCTTCATTAAAAAAAAATAAAAAATCCTTAGACTAAATTACCTGTACCTTTATTGATGGGCGAATCCATATTAATTCTGGTCTCAAACACCGAGGAACTCTTATGGCTAATTAAGTTGGTAGCACTGTTGCAACTTGTTTCCTTGTCTGATGAAAATAATGGTGGTTGAATAGGGCACTTGTTCCTTCGACAGAAGTAGCATGCCACCGAGGCAAGAAAAGCAAGAGTTGTCAGTATGACACATACCAAAAGAATAATCACAACAACTTTGCTTGGAATGTGGTTTTTTGAAGATTTTGCTGCATTGAGAGATCCTGTTAAGAAGCAATAAAAAGGCAGAACAATCAAATGACTTCAGATAAACAAGCAATGTCTATACGGAACATATTATTGGCGCATCAATACTTACAAGTAAAAAAGATATAGCAAAACGTGGGATGTGTGTAAACAAGAATATCTGGAGTGATTTCTTTCTATTTAAAACAAGCTATGGGTGCATCAATAAATAAGTCAGAGATATAGCAAAACATGGGATGTGCGTCAATGGGATTCTCACAGTAATCCAAAATCCATGGTCACAAAAATCAATCAGCTTTTAAAGAATAGCATGATTTACCATTATTCTCTGTAAAGTGTATCAGTTGAAATAAAATTATGTTTAATTTTTTTGGTAAGGTGACAACTTATAATTATAGAGTTATTTAAAAGAAACATTCGTGGGTGTGAGTGTGTGTACGTGTGCTAGAGAGAGAGAGAGAGTACCATAAGTGCAATTGCAGGCTGTAAAACAGTTAGTATCATGACTGTCAGCAGCCACTTTAGGAAGCTGATCAGCAGCACATATACACGTCCATCTAGTACTACTTCCAGCATCTATATCAGAAGCAAATTCAGTTTAGCATGTCATATACCATATAAGGTCATCCTCATCACAAAAAAAGCAGGTATATAAGAATAGACCAACCAGGGAAAGAAAAGGGATCTTTCTTAATCAACACAATGAACTTGCAACATGCAAGGATTTAAAGTATTTCTTGATTTATGAAATCAGCTTCAAAAGACATTCTACCTAAACATTGAGCGGAAAAATACATTGGTTCTTCAAAGCCCTTATTCTTTCAATTTGAACAACATCTGAAGAATCTTCTATATACATAAAAATTAGTATTTTTTTAAAATAAATAAAAAAATATGAAAGTGCATTCATGAGCATTAAACACAGACAGACATAAAGAGATGACAGAATGAACAATTTGTTAAACGTTTATCAGCAGAAATGTTATATAAAAAGAAGTGGAAAGATTTTGGGTAATTATACCATAAAGATCAGCGGCATACCCTGACTGCAATTACAGGATGCTGAACAGTAAGGTTCTAGAGTGTAGCTCTGGTTTCCTTGATATGACAAAGAGCATCTGCATGTCCAGTCTGTTGCATTAGAAGTACTGGAAACCTCATCTGCCACAATAATTCAGAAAATAAAATTCACAGATATTATTTAAACGATATTGATACTATGAACAAATTTCATGGATAACCTTATCTAATATGGAAAAGCTCAAGGCTCTGTAAAAAGGGAAACACTAATTGCTGCTTATTTGGCTGTTGTAAAAGTATAGGTGTCACATATCACAAATCAACATGCTTAATTACAGTTTCCAAGGCAAGGAAATAAGCCAAATAAAGATTCCAGAAGCCTGTCGATGCAATGCACCAGAGTAAGGAATTGCAATATCAATAACCTTTTTTATAAATATATCAATAACAAGAAAATCAATACTACTAACCACAAAGGCTTTGCTGAATCCAGATCAAGCTTATGATGCAAGCAAGGGCAACTTCCACTTGGAACTTCATTTACTCTACCTGAACATTACAAAAATGAAAATCACGTGTAAAATAAAATAATAATAAAGACTAAGAACACATTTTCAGGTCTTGCTGATGGAAGACATAAAAGGAACAATCAGGTAAGGATTGACTAAAAATGATTCTCATAACGATGGTGTAAATATGAACAGCAGCTATGACAACTTTTGTATTTTACAAAAAACTATATATTGTTAAGAATCTAATGGCATAGAAGTCTCAATATACCAAAGCAGGAATATATATATATATATATATCATGATAATAAACCTTCATTAGGTTGGGGAGGAAAAAGGTTTACTCTTCAAACGTCTTTGGTCTGAAACCCTCTGGAAGTTTGAACACAACCATAGACATTCAAACAAATTTCTAATATAGTTTTACAATAACTTTGTTAAAGTTTTTTTTCCATGAATGAAAGGAAACCAAGATGATGACAACAATGTGAAATTATACAATTAGAAAATTTCAACTATGATTCAAAACCTTTATATTAGAAAAATAATAATTTTAAAAGATTCCAGGGAAGAGAAAAACACTAAACTCAGACCAGAGTTTAGACATGATATTCTCATAAATCTGAAATGCACAAAACATCTTGAACAAAAACAATAGAAAGTTAGACAAGCATATAAAGGTAAAATATGGCAGGTAGGAGTGGCTAAATTCATGGTTGGCCAACAAATTTGAAAACAATTGATTGCAATCTACCGTACTCTATGTTCAAGCAAGATAAAACAGTATAACATGAAGTCCGTCTACACTAGCTCAGGGTACTGTCAAGTTTTCAACACAAAATTTTGGATTAAACAACCCCACAAAATAATTGCTGACTCACGGTTACGAATAGCTTTACCCAGTCTGATAATTATACACAACTAAAAACATAAATGCAGAAATGACCATTAAGACAACCACATTGCATTAGTTATTAAAAGCTGTGACTGCAGTATACTTACATCAAAATAAATCAAAAAAGGAAAATTCAAGGCTTGCCGGTTGGGGACCAAGCAGAAATTGGCCCAACGAACGAGCCCACTGCCCCCATCTATCATCAATGCAGTACTTCTTCTAGCAGTCCTACATGTCGTATTTTAAACTAATAGCTCTTTTAAACTGCCTCCCCAAACAAAATTATACTTTCTTCAAAGTAACTACACAACACATTGCTTCTTTATTTGGTCAAAAGAAAAAAAGTAGAAAACTGACATTGCTTTTAAACAGAAAGAAAGCAAAAAATTAGAAAATTAAGGACAATCAACACACCTGATAAGGTAAAGAAAAACAGCAGAACGCAAACTATGAGCTTGACCTTGAGTCTTAACAAAGTAACAAAGTGAAAAGTAACAAGCATCCAGCTCAAAGCACTCAAAATGGAGAAAACTGATGCCCCTAATCTACTCCCTCAGAGTCTAAACATGAGTATAAGTAAGCAAATTAGAGCTTAGCAAACCCAATATAACAAATACCGGATAAGTCTAATGTACGCAAACCCATCAGAAATGATGGTGTGAATCTAGAAAATGGACAATGCAGAAAGGACCATGTGACAGAAAATACAGGGGAAAGAGACCAACGGGGTTCTTGAAAAAACGATTGAGAAATAAGGAAAATGGCTCAAAACAAGCCCATCATCCACCTCTCTGAGAGCTACCCTTCTGCAAATCAGAAAGAGACCCCTCAGCTGTAGCTATATCTAATCCACATTATAGATTGAAACCCCAAAATCTGTTTACTTTTTTAAGTGTCATAGTAACGTGGGTCAATATTCAATAATTGAACTTTCTAAACTTTTCAAAAATTCAGACACCCAACGGTTAAAAATTTTAAAACTTTTCTTTTTTAATCATTTTGGGAAATAACGGTTATAAATTTATAAAGACTTCGCTTCAAAGACAGATAATCAGACATACATTGTATTGTTGGGTCCGTAAAGCGACCAAACCTCTGAGGTCACATTGGGTCCCACATATCTGTCGGCTGTCGGAGGTGGGCCCAGTATTGGGTCGTAATGAGCCAGGCTTAATAGGACACCGTGAATGGGTGATAGTATGACATACACAACAGTTGAGAAATACAACAAAGCCGCTTCACCAACCAAATTTTTTTCCCAAAGACCAAAACTTTTGTAAAATTCTGGTCACCAACACTAGCATAGGGCATCTTAACTTTTCATTTGTTAAATCAAAATCAAACCAAGTTCCAAATTCAAATATAAACAAATGAAATTCAAAAAAATTGGGTTTGATTTGTTGGGTAATCTTCTATTTCTATGTTATATTGTGAGAGTGAGCATGAGGGGTGGGAAATTTTCCCTAGATTTGGTATATATGTAACCTAACTAGAAAAGATCAAAGCTTTGGAGGAAAAATGGGATGCAGTGCAACCTAATAATGACGTGACATTGACTTCAACAAAAAGAAAAAAAAAATTAATGGGTTCATCGCTAATATACTCAATTACTAAAGTACCCATGATAATGGCCTTAACTACAATAGTGTCCAATAAGCAGCGGTTTCCTCTTCGGCCGCAAGCTAGAATTAGTCTACCAGATCCGTACTGAAGAAAATAAAAAAGCAAAAAAGCAGGGAACCAACCAAAAAACCGCGGGAAGTGAAATTTCGGATTTTACCTTGAATGAATAGAATTTATCGACAAATATGGCTTCTGAGAGACTGTGACTCTGTGATGTCTCCTCGGCGGTGCTAGAGAAGCCAGAAAAGAACAACAGCTGAAGAAGCACTTTCGAAAAACGGAGACGGCTTTTTGAGCTTAGGCATTTCTCACTGCGATTCGGATCCGATTTACAATAGCTTCAACAGTCATATTGGAGAAATTTTCTGGTAGAAAGAGAGAGAGCCTCCATTTTCAGTGGGTTAGAAGCTCGAAATGCTTCTTCTTCAGCTGAAGAGATGAGAGTGGGAGGGAGAGTGAGAGTTTCGGTGAGAGGGACGCATAATAATGAGAGTTGATCCTGTAGCGCTGAGGTGGCGCCTCTCGCTTTCCGAGGTCGTCCTCCTCCGTGGGACCCACTAAATAGTGTTATTTATTTATTTGTCCTATGAAAAGAATTCAAGTCTTACGTGGCAGTCCATGTGGGGCTCAGATCTTATCCTCGAAATGATGAATATATTTTATTATTATTATTTTATAATCTCGGAATGATGATTTTAAAGATGTTAGAATATTGTTCACAAAATAAAGGAAAGTAGAATATCATTGTGAATTTGTTATATGTTTATATTTTTATAATGAAAAGATAATTTTCATCACTTTATTTTTTAGACCAATCACTTTAATTTTGAATATTCACAGAACAGAAGAGTCACAAAAATACATGCTCAGAAACACAATTCCAAGCCTTGAAAGATGGAGTTTCACTCCAGACCACAGCTCGGCTAAACAAACCGAACCTTAAGCAAAGCCCCAAACACATTGGTCAAACTGAGCCTAAAAGTCCAAAGAATGGACTACAGGTTTGCCGGACCGACTCATATGGACTCAATCTTAAAATATAAGCTTAAAAGATTGGGTTGACCCGACATTGTGCCCACCCTCACTCCAAGGATATGCGGCAGTGATGGATTTCTCACCAACCACCCAGATTCCCAAGAAAGCTATGATCCCCCAAGTATGGGTGGAATTGTCAAAAACACCGTAAGGAAGTACTTCATATATGACTACTGTAACGCCAACCCTCCACCCCCCCAGTATGCTTGACAACCATAGGAAGCATGTTTGGATTGCGCCTAATTATGTACTTAAATTTAGATTGGTTGTGGTTAGGCCAGTTGATCAAGGCAATCTGCCAACCTCTTTGCACTCGAATTCAATCGAATTCAATCCTTCTTCAAAAATTAGAGTAGTTTTCGGGTAATTTAGACTGAATAATTCATGTTATAAAATCATTAACATAAGTTCAGTTCGTATTAGTATATTGCATGCATGGAGATAGTATGTTGCAACTTAGTCAACTTTTATGAAAATTAATCTTACTACTTTTTTGCTCCTTTGTCCATTGATAACTAGTGAAAAGAATCAGGAGTAGAATACCATATCATATATTCAAGTGAATAATTCACCCCAAGTATCCCCACAATTACAAAGGCTATACCCCCCCTCTTCCCTTCTCTTCTCAGAATTGGAAAAAATAAAACAAAAAAACAAAAGAAAACCCCCTCCTACATGTACATCACCCAAAATCACAATATATAGATCCTAACTCCCAACACCTCTTGTTCACAATTGTTCTCATCCCCATTTACCCAATTCTTATTAATGTACATGACAAAACAACCAAATATACTCCCCCTAGTTAAAACACCCAAAATTCCTCTGTATCCCAGTTATCCCAACTCCCCAAAACCACAAAAAGAAAAATATTAAGAAAGAAACAAAAAGGTCCATTAATGAAGAATATATGTAGGGTGAGGAGACTGCCACTTTTGATGATTAACGTGGCTGTGATTTGGCGGGAAATGACTGAGTAGTGCTGAGGGTTCGTCGAGGCGATGGGTTCCCTAATAACATGGTCTGAGACCGTGTCACCATGTCAATCATCGACGGGGTTTGGTAAGATTGAACTAGGCTAGTGCTATCTGTAGAATCACCTCGCGCAGTTGCCCTCTGCCATGAGTGTGAGCTCAATCCTGATAAAACATAAGCCCTTCCCGATTCCTCATATGCACGGCGGTTTCCCATCCTTTCTTGCATCTCCTTTAACTCAGCAGAAAGTGAAGCACAAAGGCGGTCACCAGCTCGTGCAGAGGCACTTTCAGACAATGCCCTACGACAGCTCTCCAGGACAGAGACTGCACCAACCAAATCACCATTCTCAGCTGCAACTCTAGCCTCAGACATTGCTTCTGCTGCATGAAGTCTATTCCGCTGCCTGTCTACTTCCATTGACACTATTAATTGTCCTACCACTTCAGGCCTTTGGATCATGACTTCACTGGCTTCTTCCAAATTCACCATTTCTTTTGTAATGGGGTCTCTGTAAACACAGCTAACCTTTACCAGCGACATCTCGTAACTGGACGCATCAACTGGAATATTGATTGTCACCAAAAAATCCCTTTCTTCTTCAGCATACAGGTCCCCAACGGAAATAGAACCCATTCTTGCATCAGCCATCATGCTGGTTCTGTAACTCCCTGCTTTAATTGAACCCAGTTGCAAACTCGGGTGAACACACTCGATTCTGACCAGCAGCTCTTGCACTACCACACTCAAAAGGCCCCCAATACACTGTGCAAATGCATCCTGAATCACACCCTCAGCTTCTATGAAAGAAAATGTTCCTCCAGAAATCTCAGAGATTGAATGCATTGAGGCAGCATCATGATCTGCACCAAATCCAAATGCGTGAACTGGAATCTGCAAGCCTGCTCCATTATTGCGACGAATAGAGACTGGGAGAAGTAATTGGTAATCTGTTCGGGGATGGACCCCACCAGGACTAGTGACAGTGTATGTATCCTGCCCATCAGATAGTAGTATGATACTGCAAACTGGGTTCTTCCACTTGCGGTCTACTAACACCTTGGTACCTTTCCTAAGAGCCTCGGCAATGTTTGTCCCACCATTCGAAACCAGAGAATTTACAGCCTGCAATGCCTGTTGCCGTCCAGTTTCAGTCATCCGACGAAGGGGGAAAAGCCGACGGGCTGTAGAGGAGAAGGCAATGACAGAAAGCCGGTCAGAGGGACCAAGGTTCTGTACCACAAATCCCATGGCTCGTTTCAGCAAAGCAAGCTTCGTACCTGCCATGCTGCCACTGACATCAAGCACTGTCACAAGATCTACTGGAACACGAGAATTTTGAAATACTGGCAGCAGTGTCTGGTTTCTGCTGCTATTATGTCTTCCACTTGTAAGAGGAGCCTTAAGATGGATTAGAACAGTGAAGTTATCATGAGAGGCTGATCTTTGAACTGCCGGAACTTCAGGAAATGTTTTGACCTCTATCATTCCAATGGAATTGTTATCACAAGAATCCTCAACGGATGCACTTTTCTTAGAAACCTCAGGTTGGTGATCTAAGCTTTCATCATCATCAAAGATAACCGGTTCAGGAGTGTGAAAGAGTGATGAAATTGGCCGATTTGCATCTATGCGTGGGGGAGGAATTTGTCGTAAAACAGTCATCCATGCATCATCTTGGGGCCAACCAACAGGGTTAATTCTTGAAATACCACGTGAAAGATCAGAAGCAGGGCTCTGAAAGGGGATTTCTTTCCACTTTGCTCTGCAAACTGGACAAACTTGGTTTCCATGTTTTACATTAGAAGTAATGCAGTGGAAATGGAAAGAGTGGGAGCACTCTGCAGTGAAAATGGCATGGCCCTGTCCTGTTTTCATGGTGGTCAAGCATATTGCGCACGTTCTCTGCAGTCAAGGACAAACTGGTTAGAACAACGTAGGTTGGTAACAGTACCAAATTCAGATATGAATGTCAAATATTTTAGGCACACACAAACAAGATAGTAAAGTCATGGAAGCACCTCCATTAACCAAAGTAATCCTTAAATTAACTACAAGCACTTCATATAACCCTACTATTAGAGAAGAAGTCTAACATAAATTCTAAATACCAACTCTATTTTACTGTCTCATTGACATCTAATTTAAAACACTTATGAAAAATAAAACGACAACACAAAGACATTAGCATTAGCAAACTAGGGTTTCACTGAATTGGCTTAAAAAATACTTGAGCACGTTGATGATGTTTCTTTCCTCCGGCTAAGTACCATGCTTCATAAAGCTTTCTACTCAAGAAACTTACAATTGATTACCCTCTCTCCAATTCACTGTAACTGAAAAGTAACTTCAATAACAAATATACCTCTGGAAAATGTATGTTCAAGCACCCTTATTTAAGAACTCCACTTATCATATGGTTATAGCATAAAATTCACGCAGGACTACTCATTTAGAGTCAATCACTTGCTGAAAAGACTTTCTTCTACAATTCTTAAAACTTAAAAAGAAAACATTTGATTTGACACATCAAAATTGATGATTTAACTTTTTATCAAATTTATTTAAACATAATCATCTATCTTCCTTCATGAGTTTGAAAACCTGCAACTATCAAAAAACTTCTAGAGCTACTAATGTGAGCTATGAAGATAGTAATTTAAATACCATTAATTAATGAATGAGTACTATGGACTACAAGAATTATGCATGCAAGTCCACGTCTGTCTCTACAATGAGCAGGCATTTCTCCTATCAAATAATAATAATATAATAAGCACGCATTTTAACATCTAGATTTGGTCTTGGGACATGACTTCGTAGTTTTAAGGTCCCCTGGATTTTTAAAATAGTACCCTCCCAGCTTTAATTCAAAAAACTCTATTTATACTTGAACAAAATTAAAACCAGCATTTTCAAAGTCTCCCTAAATGTAGATTTGCATTTGGGGACTTGTATCCAAATCCAACCCTTTAATTTAGAGAATCTGACCACTGGCTTATAATATTCAGGGCTCTTTGATACATGCGAAGATTTCGAAGGGTCACTACAACACTGTAGAATTTAAGCTGACACTTCTTTAACCATGCAGCTCCACTTGTGAGACTAGTGCATAAAAAGATGAAATAGATTGCACCGTATCTACAGTACACTACAGTTGCCAATTTCGAGATTCCTTTTATACAATTAATTAAGTATGATTAAAGCGTCCCTAGTAAATCAGCTGGCCAACAAAAGAAAGAAGTCCATGAGAAATGGTCAAAAACATTGTGGAGGACATAATGGGAAATTTACATCAATCAAGGGGATGACTTTTTAAAAGTAAGAATAATAAAGCAACTTGCAGACTAACGATGGAACCTTTCAAGATGGTAAGAAAAATTTCATGAAAAAGAAAAAATCTTGAAGCTCATCAAAAGAAGAATGATGAATTGCTCTAAGACTTCCATGTCTTAATTCCCTCTTCAATGCTCCTTTGTTTTCTTTTGTTGATGCTCATTGCAGGAAAGCTCATAAATCAAGGGTCCACAATCTTTTTCCAGAACTAACATGAGAGAGAGAGAGAGAGAGAGAGGTGTATGGGGGTGTGTGTGTTTGTGGAATAGTGCACTTGGTGCTGACCAGACAAAGCACTTTCCCTTGGAGGAAAGGAAAGGTACAGTGAAGTGTATTCCTTTACAAATAATCCAAAGGATAATGGTCCTTAAAGGGGCTGGCTAGTCCACTTTCTCTATCCCCACAACCATAAGCTCTTCACATAGCTAGCTGAAAACAACCTGACAACCAATAGCCATACTCACAAAATAAACATACATCACATTATCACATCACCCCCCACCCCACCTACACCACCAACATCATCTACCCTACATTAACAGATAGACAAAGAGAGCTCCAAAACAAAAACAAAAATCAAAAATCAAAATCTGCCATGATTGATTAAGAGTTGGTATCACCAGTAAATTATGATAATAATATCACAATAATGTTACTTATACCGTTGTACAGTGCATGTAAATAAATAAAATTACTGTTCAAAGAAAAACATGTTATTTGCATTCTTTCACTGTTTCACAAAGAATCTACCATGGATATCCACCAAATAGCAGAGACATTTTAGACGCCAAATGACACAACAAATAACAATAAATCAACCCAATAAGAAAAAATTGCACAAAATCAAACAATTTTTGCAAAGTCTAGCATAAATGGCAAAAATTTCAATAGCCAAAAGCTCAACATGCAAATGGGTTTTAATCATAAAACTGACAAACCAAACCTTGGAGGACTTGGTGCCAGTTTTGGGCAACCGGAGGCCCGAAGAGGACGGGGTGGGCGTGGTGGGTCGGCAATCAGAGCCAAGACCAGTCGGAGAAATCATAGAGGAGGACGAAACGGCATCGGAGAACCTAGATGCAGCGACGTCGTTTGAAGAGGGAGACGATTCCTCTCCGGCTTCTCTAGTTTGAGGAACATAAAGACAAGTATTCAACCCAAGAGCAAGCTTGGCTTTCCTCCATTTGCTTCCCATTTTCTTTTGGTTTTTCTGACTCACTTTTTTTTAAAGATCCAAACTTTTGCTTCTAGATCTTGAAGAAGCTGTGAGCCACGCCCATGATATAAGCTATGGAGTGTGGAGGTGTTGTCATGTTGTGGTGGTTTCGTGCTCAACAACAAGAAATGGAATAATAAAGAGGCAATAAGTGTTGAAGGTTAGAGAGAAATTGTTTTTATAGGGACCGTGAAGAAAATTGAAAGGAGAGAAATGGGTTTTTGGGTTGAATTGTCCTTTAATGGGTGGATGGGTTGGGTGGGATTAGAGTGGTCAGGGAGGCTCCACAGCAGCCTTTTCTTTATTTAACTTCTTGCACAAAGGTATACACGTATAAATATCGTGTAGTGGTTTGAAGCAATTGAATCGTGGGTTCGAGTTAGATTTAAAACTATTTTATTTTCTTGTAAAACCAAATTACAAAGAAGCGTAATACAATCTATACTATACCTAATAAATCTCAATAATTTTTGGATAAAATATCCAAAATAAGAGAACTTTTCCTTTTCAAAATTTGGAAAATTAACTGTTGTTTTTTGTATGGGTCGAGATCTTGATTGAGATATGTCAAGTGGTATAATGGTCTTTTTCTTCTCCATGTGATTAGTTTTCTAGGTTGAAAGAAGAAAACGATTGTATTGTTGTAATTTTGACTTTTTATCATTTGACCATAAAACATAAATTCAACTGGATGCAATTGCCACTTCTTGTTTACCTTGTATATCAGCTATTTATGTTGAACATATGTTATTCAGTTTGCTTCTTAGATGGAAGCATGAAAAAATTTCATATGTTATTGTGTTCGCTTGTTTCTCGAAAAAATTTCATTGTTGCGTTGTCTATTTAGAATTATCGATCTCTTAAAATTTAGATTTTATTAGAGTAGTTAGTGCATGTTGATGGCATTTCTACTCAATAAATCCACGTTGTAGTTCAAATTCCATCAACATTGATTAGCAACAAGATAGAAAATATATTCAAATTTAATTGAGGATACATCAAACCTGCATATGAAATAGGTCAAAGAAAATTAGAACAATCATACGAAAGATTTACTATTTTTATTGCACAAATGAACAAGTAGAACTTGGCTATATTTTCGAGAAGCAAGCAAATAACATATGAATTTTCGTCATGCTTTTCGAGAAACAAACTTAATAACATATGTTCAACATAAATAAGATATGAAGTTTCGTCATGTTTTGTGTTCTCATGTTTTTTATTTGCAAATATAGCGCATTCTGTTTTTTGTAACTCATTTATTCAAAGATAATGTGGTGTGGGAAATTTGAATTTCATTATCTCAAATAGATCCTTGAGTAGCAATAATGAACCGATTCCGACCTAAAATGGAGGCGCAAGTGAATGAAAGTAGTGTATGGATGAAGTCATTATAATTCTCCTGCCCATATTCAATTCCTAATTTTTTATTATTATTATTATTTTTTATCAAACCAATTCCTAGAGCATGTCAAATATCAAACATTAAATTTAAATTTGATGGTTGATGTGGCAATTTGACATCTTACACAGCTTTACACTCCACCCAATATGTCAAATTAAATTATTATTTTATTACATTTTAGTGTTGATTTATTTTTAATTAAAAAGAAAAGAAAAGAATAAAAGAATAAAATATTCATTTGACATCTTGCTTTTGAGATGTTAAAAATAACATCTCAACCTTCAGCCTTCATTCCACATCATCTTTGACACATCGGTTGGAGTAATGTGAGATGTTATTTCTAGCCGTTAAATGTCTATATCGCACTTTTGACATATCAGTTGAAGATGCTAACTATTAAGTTGTACAATTTTTATTGACGATCACTATGCTTCGTTTGGTGTAAAGTACTTACCTAATTCTCCAGGACATGATCTGGTTTTTGTACTTGTTACTCCTTTTCCTCATTAATAAATTACTATCGTTGTTGCATAAATTTATAAATAAATAAATAAATAACTTCATTTAAATTTCTAAGTTAACCAAAATGAATTGATACTTCCTTTATGAGTCCGGATATACTGCTCTCATTTTTCATATTTTTTTTGTCAAACATTTTCAATGTCCACTATGTGTCTCTTTGGCCAGCATATTCATAATCCTCTTTTTTCAAATTAATATAAAGAAGCATGAAAATAATTAATTAGTTAGGATATTATGCTAAATTGATCACCACGAATTATAAAATTCCAAAAAAAAAAAAAAAAAAAAAAAAAAAAAAAAAAAAATCATAAAAATACTATCCACTATGAATATAATTTGAGAGGAGGAATGTGTTAATAAAATCCCTTTATTAATGTACTTTTTCTTTTGTATTTCAGCGAAAAAATATGTACCTCTTTTTTGCTAGCCTTTATTTATGTGCCTTTTTCCCCTTAATTAATGTACTTAAGCCTAACAAAATATGATGTGTATTTACATAGAGCAAAAATGTTGTGGTGGTTATAAAGTTTCTTAATACAAGTGATAGTCTAAATTATAAGGGGATGAGGGTTTTTCACACACACACACACGCTGCCAAAATGTTATGAGAGTTTAAACATGAGACCACACTGGTATGTAAATCAATACCCTTTTCTACTGGACTAGACCTATTTAGCATGAAGCAAATTTATTAAGCATATGTCGTTTAGAAACTTATATGTATCTTAAAAAAAGGTTATTTGTGACTTCCTAATGTGTTACTTGCACGGAATAAACGGACTCATAATCAAGTCATATAAAAGGCCACATTTTTATACAACTTTGAATTCAACCATCAAAATTCAAAATTTCTAGTGGTATTTAAAGGATTTTTCTGTCTTTAGAATTTATAATATTTTGTACGGCCAGAGAATTATAACAATGGTATAATACTCTTCTATACTTGACCGACTCAAGTATAATCCATATATTCCACACAGCCGGCAGCAGAATATATATACTGTGGATTTGATATATACGATATTGTGGGAGACAAGAAGAAGTGTAAAAAATTCACAATGAGCTTTTAATTTCATCTAACGAGCAGCTCAGCCCACTCCAACAAAAAGCTTTCGGGTTCCATTAGTCAAAGCACTTTGATTAAACATCATGTCCCATTAAGCCCTAGCTATAGAGATATGGCCAAACCACCAGTCATTATCTTTAAGTTAAACCATTCAACTCCCATGCGTGGAGTTAGTACTTAGTACTCATTTCCATTTTTAATACTCCATAGAATACTGCATTGTCCTTATTACTTCAAAGAATCTTGGCCGTTAGTCAAAGACATCGCCATCCAAGGTTGTCCCGTGCACGACAGTGAATTCCGACCATTGATCTATTATAGACTTCACATACATTTACGGTCAGAAATTGCATGTACACCTAATCATACCACATCTAATATTGGCTTAAGTTCGCCCTCTTTTGATTAGTCAATTGAATTCATGCTTCTAGTAGTCCAATCACAGCTGGTAGATAAGCATAATTTATTTCATATTATTCATGTGTGACGCATTGTTGAGGGGTTGAATAGGAAATACCAGAATATTGAGAAACATTATAATTAAAACAAATGGTCAAATGGCAAAATAGGTTAGTTTAGGAATAAAATATGTGACATACTCTCAAAACCGGAATAATTGACTATGAATTAGAAGATTAAGCTGCCATCGTTTTCTGAAAATTACAATAATCCTTTAGAATAGTATAGTAGTTGGTGGCTCTTTGCAAGCTGGTTGGACAAAGACCCCATAACTCCATCATAATCAAGAACTCTTTGACCTGAATAAAGAGTGGGATTTTCCACATCTTGTATAATTTTCTTCCAAGAGATGTAAGCTGATAAGTGTTTTAACTCACGGATCAGCAACATCCGTTGAAGAAAAATTGCTTCCACGAAGGTTTTTTTTTGTTTTTCTCTCGTCACGTTATATTGTTATATATTAATAAGAATAAATACGTATATTTTTAGACTGTATATAGTCGAAGGCCATTTTATCTGTGTATACGGTTATTTCTACAATAATATCTATATATGCATAACCAAATTGAACATTTAGATATTCCATATTAAGAATGAGGGAAAATATACTTTAGCCACAGCTTGCCTTGGTTTGAAGCTATTCCAGATAAGTATAATGTACTGTCTGCATACTGTTGTTTTCTACCAAGCTAGCAGGCTGACACTTGTCACGTTTTGGAAGTTGTCCTCTTCCTTTGGATCCCTATTATTTGGGTCTTTGCCTAGTGTTGCCGGCATCCACATAAACAGAACCACTTCTTGCATGAACCAGTCAGAAAAGAGAAAAACAAATTATCTCTTTGTTTTTATTCCTTCTTTCTCAATTTTATATTTAAACTTTTAGGCAGTGTGATGATTTTTACTTTTAGTTTTGCCGGCGAGATGTCGTTGTTTTTTCATTTTAAGGGGTACTTATGATAGATTGATTTATAGTGAAATTTGTGACACTTTTGGCCGGACTTTATAATAATAGAGATATGCACAATCCGCAATATAATGTTAATGCTTTTAAGTCACTGTGGCATAAACTTGTACATCAGCTTTACTTCACATGGTGCCCTGCAGACGATCGTGTTACATCGCCTTCTTTCATTGGCTTAATTCAGATTTTAGGCACACCAAGTAGGATTTTGTCAGCCCTTGAAGACTTTGAGGCAATGAAAATGGTTTTAGTTGGCCCCCAACAGGATAAGTCATTGTCTTTATGGTCCTTATATGGAGCTATGATTCGTGAAGGACATTTTTACCTTGTACCCAAGATAATGGCCACTCATAATAAGTCATAAATCCACTGGACCGTGCCTTCACTCATACATACAACAATTTGTGTAACACCTATTATATTTCTTTCGCTAAGGTTAGCCAAGTGGGGTTGACATGTCCCCAATCCTATATAATATCATATCGAGTAATGTTTTCTTATTAGATTTTTATAGACCGACGACGACGAATGCTTATGTTGTTAAAATGTGAATATAAACGTAATGT